CCGAGGTTGTTGATGAGTGCCAACTATCACGAAACCTAGGTCCAAGATTTCCTGCCGATTACCTTCGTCCGCTTAGCATCTATGCCAGTGTATAGCGATGGTGAGTCTCCTAGCTCGGTGGACACACTGCGAAATGATGTTATTGAATTCCAACTTGAAGTTGTTTATCAATATCTTTCACAGAACTTCTCTATCCATTACATTGTATATTTGATGACTAAGTGAGTGATTAGTTTTCATATTTTCTCTACTCTTTTTATTTGTTGCCAATTGAAACCCAGAGAAACTAGAATTAATTCAGATTAGGTCTGAAACAGAAGGACAACATCTCATAATGAGTTTTATATTCAAAACATGTTTTCGAGTCATGAAGATTAGATTAAGAGTGACCAATTGACAAATCAAGGTCACATGCTATTACTTGGCTGTTATTGTTGTTCCAGCCTGTGTGTTCGTATATGGTATATGCTTTGCACCATCGAAGTGCAAATTACTCTTGCAAGATTAGAAGGATCATGTGCCTACGCTCATCCTTGGTGATGAGCCGTTGGAAGTAGTCGAAAAGTTCGTGTATTTGGGTAGTTGTGTGAGTGATCATGGAGGTGTGAGTGGTGGAAGTTTCAACCACATATCGAAAACTAGAGTGGCACACGTCAATCTGAGTCACCTTTGGTGCCGTTGCGACGTTTAAACAGAATGAAGATGGCCATTGAATAAGTGAAGCCATCTGGATACATCGGCTTCGGTGACTTGGACATGTGTTACACATGTCGACTCAACGGCTTCCACATCGTTCATTGTTTGCTAACTGTGGGAGTGAATGGAAGAAGTGGAGGGTTGGGATGAAGGATAGTTGTATGGGGTTAACATGTGTTGGTGCCTCACGACTCCCTGTTGAGGTGTGGGTTCCGAGAGATCACGCAACTCAGTGACTTGAGACTTTATCAGATATGACTGAGAATGGAAAGCAGTGGTGGTCATACTGTAGCTTCTTCCTTCTCCTCGTATCTTCTGCTGATGAGAAGTAATGAATGTTTCATTTTGAATGTACGTCATTATTCTGTTGTTATTATGATTTGTTTTCTATTCACTTGAGATGACTTTATTTCTTCATAATGTTGTTATATTATTTTGTGTTACACATTTCTTGGTGCCGTGGCTGCACCACCTTTGTATTCTAATAATAATAATAATACTCTCATTCCAAGGGTGCGTAGCTGTTTATCATATTACTTATTAATGAGTAATAATCACCAGAAGTTTTCTAAATTCCTTGAGTATGGTTTATTTGAATTGTGCTCTAAGGTGCGTCATCATATACACTATACCCAAAGAAGCCGAACTGCTGGTTAGTCATAATTTAACATAGTGCTGGAAATGACTGACTGTAACGATTTATAGTTAATTTCCTTGTGATGCTGTCGCTTTACAAGATGTTGACGTACTTTTAAAGCATACTGTTAGGACTTCTCGAATATGAAGAAACTACTTGTCGGCTTAAGTCATAATTTTTCGTAACCCTTTTCCTGGTAGTTTCGTATCTGTATTAGCAGACCCTATGGAATCATCCTTTGAAAAAATCCAAGTTGAACCTACTGTTTTACTGTCTGTGCATCGTTGTGATGCTGACAAGACGAATAACTAACAGCCTAGACATTTTATTCAAAAATTTGGCAGTATCATTGAAGTGACATGAAAATCCGGTCGGCAATCTAGCCTCGTAGCTCAATTGGCAGAGCGCCGGGCTGGAAACCCGGTCCAAATTTTTTATTTCACCTTTTCCTCAGTGTTTATGCTGTTGTTGTCTTCATTACTTCACAATTTGTCCTGGCAACTAAAATCTGGTTTTCCGATTATGACGATTTTTCGCTCTTTTCGGTTAATTGTTTTCTCAAAGTTTCCAACTGTGACCCCTTCTGAAAGGCGATTACTTTGACTCAGTATTTTTTAACTACAATTAACTGACTATCCAGTTTGGTAAAGAAGGTGCTTTAAAAATGGTCTCATTAAAAACTGGTTTCCGCTTTCGTATCTAGCAGCCTTGTGGACATTTGTGTGGTAGGCAATGAGTCACACTTATTGTGCGAGAGCATCTGATACCATTCGGCTGCCGAAACCTCAATAGGACTGAAACCTATCACCTAATGGTTACAAGTCATCTCCGTAAATCAATGATTCACAGCTCCAAGTTAGACTAACCAAATTAATATAGCATTGACAACAGTTATTCATCATTTAGTATCATTATTATTTGTCCTTTGGGTTCCACTCAGTGTCCTGGGCCTGCGCATAATGTCCACAAACGGTCTTCTCAGTGTATCCCCAATCCAATCCATCTCCACTTTCTTCTACTGCATATTTGTTAGACGATGGGTTCTTAGTTGGTTCGTTGCCAGCCAGCCAGCCAGAGTTCCTTGTTTCTTATTCTTATTATTCTGGCCATCTGATCTGATTTTCAGTATCGAGTGAGCGTAGGTGGCAACTGTTGATGATGCATGTCTGTAGTTTGTTGGAAATGCTTTTGGTGACACGCCAAGTCTCTCAACCATCACATGGAAGTAGTGACCTACTTGACTGGCATTAGTGTTGACAATCCGGATGTTGTAGATGCTTTATGCTGAGTGGAGTGGAGTGCAGTAGATCTCCACACTGATTATTTCAGATTAATGCAGTAAGGCCTGTCTTGGTGTCTTTCGGATCGTGGCTGGCTTTGACGTCCTCATCTGTGTCTGTGCTGCCTGTAGTTGAGACGATGCTGCCTGCCTATGTAGGTGGGTGAGAGAGACAACTTCCTTTAGATTTCTCTCATTGATGGTGATTGGTGCTTGTTGTTGTTGTTGGTTGGTTGAGTATCTTCATTACCTCTGTGTTGTGTACATTCACTTGAAGTCCTGTTTTGGCTGCCCTACCTCTTCTATCAACTTTTTGGTTTTTCGCCTATATATCTTCGAGTTTGTGCGACAAGATATTAGACATAAATCATCACCACTGGTGAAATCCAAATCATGTAGGGTTTTTTCATCTATGCAGCCAGCATATGCCCGTCTTCTCGCTCTTCACAATTTGTTGCATGATGTAGTTGAATCCAGTCGACCACAATGGGGAAGATGATCGGTGGTAGTAGGTGGCAGCCTTGTCTTACTCTTGTCTTCACTTCAAAGGCGTTATCGTACAGGGTCTATTATTCTTTGAACTAGAATTTCCCACCTAACTTTTATTCTACGTTACTTGCGCAACTGGAATAAGTGTCTCTGACTGATTTGTTAGATCACTTACGTACATTACATTGATCTTTGACCCTCACATCAAAATGTGATTGGATGATCGTAAAAGTCACCTTCTGTACCAAAATTGGATATTAACATGAAAACTGCTTAGTATCAGATTCATACTCTTAAAAAGAATCTTCGCAGAAAGCTAGAAACGTTGGAGATTAATACAAAGTATTTGTTTATTTTGTTATTTATTTTAATGTACTACACTAGGATTACACAAGAAGGAGTATACCTTATATAGTGAATGATATTAACTCGGTGCCTAAGTTTTTCCAAACCATCCAGTCCATTCTTGGTCAGGACACTTTCGAACAGTAAGCATTGATCATTACAATTCACTCATTAGTGCTTTAATGCAGACATTGGAACAAAACTCTTGCTTAAAATTCGACTGTTTGGCATTTGTGTTGTTAGTACAGGTGACTAAATTCACTTCACTTAACGTCAAATTTTTGTTTTAGTGAAAAAATGTACAGTTTTCTACTAATAAACAAAGTGAAATTCACGTGGCTTTTTATCTTTTTTTGTATTCGGGCCCAAGAGTTCTAAAGAAGATTCCACGAGAACATTTCTATTATCATTACCCAACCGTTGCAGAATATCAGGTCAAAACATGAAGACTTATACTTGATATGTCTTATAATTAATGTTTCTACCTTTCGCAGATTGTCGCGATACAGGTGTAGGTTGACAACTATGCTGGCGATATTCGAGAATCGTTATAAATCTGCTGGTATGTATAATTCAACCAAGTTCGAAATATACTTCTACTGAATAAAAAGAACTCTTAAGATCTCCATTTTTAACATCAAGTTTGACAAACTACTTTCATTTTTCGTGACATTTTCAAGTGTGTATGTTGTTAACATAATTGCTCGTATTATACCATCGTTGATTGGACCGAATTGATCTGTCTCTGTTGGCATATAGGCTCCTGTGCGTATGCCTCGATATTGCCTGTGTTTTAATTATATACAGTAATGATAGATAGTGGCCAACAGTGGAATCCAGGACGAGCATTTCGTCCTATTTGGGGCTCGTCAGCTGGATGTACCTGCTTCCCACTGAGTGATGTTGTTCCCATCAAGATTCAGACTCGAGGGCGATCTCGTGAAATGCGGGAGCGTTGTCCACTAGACCACCGGGCCACGATAGCCACTTCTTGTGCGATGGGTATAGTTTTGGTATAATTGCTCGTATTATACCGTCGTTAGTCCCGAGTCCGAATCTCGATGGGAACAACACTCATTGGTAGACAGGTACATTCAGCTGAAGAGTTTCAAATAGGACGAAATGCTCGTCCTGGATTCCACTATTGGCCACTATCCATCATTACTATATATAATTAAAACATAGGCAATATCGAGGCATCCGCACATGAGCCCATATACCAATAGAGACCGATCAATTCGGTCGAATCAACGATGGTTTAATACGAGCAATTATACTTAAACTATACTTGTCTCACAAGAAGCGGCTCGGTGGTCTAGTGGATAACGCCCTAGCGTTTGAAGCAATCGCCCCCGAGCCTGAGTCCCTGTGGGAACAACATCACTCACTGGGAGATACATTCAGCCGAAGAGTCGAAATAGGACGAAACTCACATCCTGGATTCTACTTTTAGTCCAATGTGTTTGATGATAAGAAGGGAATTAATTTTTAAACGCTATCTCAGATTTTAACAGATTGTTTATTCTTTACGATTATTTTTCTGTCTCACTTTAGGTAGTTTGGTTAAATTGTTCTGATGTTGATGTTAATAACGAGTCTGGGTACCGTTCCTATCCACAGCCTACATTTATGCGAGATAATCAAAGTCGTTTACTCTGTAATTGGCCGGAATTACTTCGCTTACATAAAAAGTAAGTTTTTTCTGTATTGTTTGTAAAAAAAAAGTATCAGGTTCGACTTCATTTTTATCATTCACAGTTTTGACTTTCATTGCTTCTCTTTTAAAGTATGTTACTGTACCGATAAATGAATATCTATTAGTTGCTACTGAAACAATTATGTCATGATTATAGCATACCTTTGTTATATAAGAGCTTTTTTTTGGCATAAAACTTTATTTACAAAGATATCAGCTTATCCACAGAGAGGAAACCTAATCATAGGCCTGTGAGAATTACTTTTATTTCTCACTCGCATCAAGTTATAATCAGGTTATTTGGTTTGTGTTTTTCTACAGGTTTGTTTTGTAACTTTTTTATATGTACCTAATATTAGCAAACCAGTATTAGACTTATGAACATTTACCTATTTTGAAGATTACAATTTTCTGTTTGATGTACACCATTACTTGAATATCCTCTGTGAGTAGTATAAAGTGTCGTACTAAGGAAGAAAGGAAGAGAGTATTATAAATCTTAACGTAATTTCATATGGAAAATCAAGTGAATTCATCCTGGTATCAGAGTGCTAGGCAATAAATGATGAGTACGAACCCTGCTCCTTCGACGTTGTCATGGGCACCGGGGTAGCTTTATAAGATCTCGGATAAAATCATAGTCTTAGGACACTACATATTACTACGTAATGGTCCAAGTTGCCATACCTCATATCAGCACATCTAGTAACAAAGTAATAAGATGAAGAATGAATGAAAAATCGACGAAAAGCAGTTTAAGGTAGTAAAAGAAGATGAAGGGATGAGAAAATGCTGAATTCAGTATAGCGGTTCGTATGAAGATGAAGTGTGCATACATCTGCGCCACTGGCTTATTCTGTACCATATCACCTAGTATCTCCAACCATTGGTTTCTGTTGTCACGTGGTCACCAACCAGCTAGTCTGCATCGCTCTACATGCCTCCCTACGTGTGTCAGGCCAACAGTCAACGACTTCATGGGATGATACCATGTCTTAGTCTCGCCTTTTCAAAACCTGAACCTACTTCAGCTAATATTCCTAGATGAGGCAGATGGTGTTTAGGGATACGTAACACATATCCTAGCTATCTCAATTGACTAAGGTTCACGACCTGATCATCTGACTTTCCTCCCCAACTACTGTATTACTGACATACGACCTATGCTTTAAAGGCATTGGTGGTCGAATACCTGAAGCCTTGTAATATCTTCTACCTTTATAATGATCATATTTCACAACCATACGGTAGAAGAGAACGTACTGCAACACAATAGACTTTACGTATAGCTGATAACATACCTTGTTTTAATTGTAATCCAGCTCAACTAAGTGAATATTTATTTACTAGACTGTGAGCCACGGTTGTTTTGTTATGGCTTAGGTGGAGTAGAGTTTAAATCCTTGGGATCAGCTGCTATGTTTATTGCATAGAATTAACATATACATACTGTTGATAAATAAACCTTTTTTGAATTGCATCAGCATGAAAATTCGCGCCATATTAACAATTTTAGTCAATTACTTGTTGCTTGTATTTGATGAGTATTAGTAGACATGGTTAATATTTTCTTTTGTTTAGTGCATTGCTGCCACATTTAGAGGCGTGCGATGGGAATGCAAGAAAAATCAAAGCTTGGGTGTTTCTTATGGTATGTTTGTATTGTTTTCTTCTTGCATTTATATCATTCACCTATGTTTTGTAGAAATCTATGCATTTGTTCTTTTCAATGTGAGTAGTATATGCATGTTTTTATAGTTTTTTTTGTAATTTTCATTTTTTTAACCTACATCAATGCCAGTTTTTGAATGTATAGGAGTTTAGGGTGGTTTAAATTGTCATAGACCTCCTCGATATAGGGATTTTATTGGGTTGGTTTACATTCGGTATATTCAGTTATTATTTATTGTCAACGTGTTGAATGAGAGTTTATAAGGTTGACTTCATGAGATAAACGTATCACGGTAATTTTCATCATTACTAGCTGTCGTTTGATAAGGTGTATCATTGAGTTTACACAAATAGTCGTCTATTGACTTAGGGTTTTGTCTTTCGATACTCACCCGATCGGTTTTAGAAGGTGGTCACTGTTTAATGTTAAGGAGTCATTAGTATCAAAGTCATGAGCTCAGTAACAAGTTCGACCACCTAGTTTAGTCTTGACACTATCGTATCAGTTTTTACCACTTCGGCCTGTAAGTAGGACAAGAAACTTATCGAAATACACTCAATAACCTTGTGCACATTCGTGCAGGGTTAATGATACTATCTCACTATCTGTTCAAACCTCATTATGTTGAGCGATGTTCGGACTCGTGACCCACTGGTTGAAAGTCAACTTACTAATTCAATCAACCACAACTCCACCACAAAACGCATAGCTAGATTTGTCTTTCTTGCTTTCTGAGTAAAGTTTCATCTTCGTGACAAATGCAAAATGTTTTTTGTATTATGACTTGTAGGTGTCACGTCTTGTTGACCTGTACACAATCTATTGTTCTCTTCATGAATGTGCAGTTCACCTTAGTGTTGCGCTTGAAAAAGATCGTGTCTATTCCTCTTGGATAACTGCATGCAATGAAGAGATACATCGTCGAGAAATGCTAACAGCAAGAATGAATAGTCAAGATATGACACAGTCCTCGAATGAATTAAATCGTCCAATGTTGCTATTCAGTTCTCGTCTGGTTACACCTGTACAACGTTTTCAGCGTTATCATCTTCTGTTGGATAGGCTTGTTAAACATGAAGTAAATGAATGTAATCGGTAGGTTTTTTCGTGCCATTTCTGTATGTAAGATGATTCATTCCATATCTACTAAATACTGGTCACTATTTTTTCCTTTTGGAGGTTTGTGGGGATTTATTCATTGATTTCAGGTTAGTATTCGTCGTGGACTGACATCAGTTGGAGAAACACTAGAAATCTGGAGGCACTGGACAACTGTTTCGCACTAGTATGGGGTTCTTCAGTAGTACCCACTCGCGACCCCACCCCACTGGGGATCGAACCTAGGAACTCCAGGTCCCGTGGCCAGCATGTTACCATTGAGCCACTGGGTCGAGATCTGATGGTCCATATTTCCTAATTCTGTCATTTCACCATATAGCGCGACCTCCGTCTATGCTCGACTTGGTTACCCCCACCGGTCACGACTTTCATTTGAACTTCGGGAATCACCATTCGTTTTTTGATTTTCATTATTATTTCTTATTGAAACTGTTCGTTGCTGTACCATGTTTTTTTGTGTTGGTAGAGTTTACGAATAATATAAGCACTTGGTTATTAGCGAACATTTATTGTACTTTTCTCTTTCAGTCCGTTAGTGTGAATAAATATGTCAATGTGACAAGGTCATCGTTTCTTATGTGTTCTCAGCGATGCATTAAAGAATATAAACCTGATTTCCAGTAGTTGGTAGTACTTGGAGAGCATTACGCACACTCATTTTTCTCACCAAGTAAGGTAGAAACGAAGGCTAAGCACTTGAATGCCTGATAACCTTATATGTCAGTCATTACTTACCGAGGGGTCTCCAAAAATAACAAGGAACTATCGCTACTTGTAGTAGCAGTAGTAGTGAGTAAAGGAATCACAGACGTGACAAGCTGCAGTTACAAGGGGAATAATCAATGGCTACAGTGTTCCGAGTTTTTCTGGTAGTCTATTTGTTCCGAACCGTTCAGGCAGGGTTTACGTTTTTGGGCTGAGATTCTCAAAATATTCAGAATGAATGGTTGATAATTGTTGTTACGTGGACCGAAATTGGTCACAATCGTGAAGGTGTATTCCCTCTAAATCATCTTCAAAATCCTCCATATTTTATTGACGTGTACTAATTTATTTTCTGCCATCATACATTTTCTGTTCACTGCTGTTTTGGTGTTGTAAATTGTAGAAACTTGAAATGATTCGCCTGCGTGAAAATTTCTGCCTTGATTATCCTTTTGTTTGAGTGTAGAGTCTGATGGACAGTAACCATCAGTTGTTTTATTGTGAAGGCTTATAATTAACGATTCAATCTACCCTATACTCATATTTAGGAATGTCTTATTATTGAGTCAACCCAGTCGCCAATTTGCTATCGCTGGTTATTATTGGCTTAATCACGTGGTTCGTCTTATTCAATATCAACACTGACCTTAAACGTGATTGATCTCGATTATTACTCAGTCTCGCACGCTCAAACTATCCTCACGATGAGTTATAAAACTCTGCCCTCCTAACCTTTTAACAACAGAATACAGTCTGATGCTTATTGTCTGTATATTTTAGGCGATTTCATTCATATGGATATATAACTGAATTACTTTATCACAATGCACCATGGTTTATAAAAATTATAAAAACAATTGATTTCAAGCACAAAATATGGGAGTTGTGCATGACAATGGGTTTCATTCAGCATTCGGTTATTTCTGAGATATAGGTCACACAGAAACGAGTGAGGTATCACTCAAAAGCTCTTGGTTCGAGTTATGTAATAATATTGCCGCTTAGGTCATAAGTAAAACGACCTTTAAGATAAATAAAGTAATATGACCGGTGACGTGAATCTGAGATTCACATTTTCCAGTTACTTTTAATGGTAATTCAAACTGTTTATTAAGGTTGGAGATAGTGACTCGTAAATGAATTTGCTTGTAACTAGAATATTCGGCTGAGGGTGTGGATTCATTCTTGAAATGGTTGATTTTGTCTGTATTCACAAAGGTAGAGTGACACAAGACGAAGATCGACCTAACACTCTTCAATAGCTTTCTGTGCGAGTAATTAGTTACAGGTCAGCATTCATCATGGACTGACGTTAGTTAGGTAAACCTTGAAAATCTTGAAGCACTGGACAACTGTTTCGTCCTAGTGTGGGACTCCTTATCATTGTGCACTCATGACTTCGTGCCACCAGGTGTCGAACCCAGGACTTTCAGGTCCCATGGCCAGCATGTTGCTGTTGAGCCACTGGGCCGGGATCCAGTATCACAATATAGCACGACCTTCGTCCAATGCCATCGCTGAGTAACTGTCCTCATATTCGACGGTAAAAGTCGCGCTATATCGTGAACTGACAGAGGTGGGAAGTGTAGACCATTGGATTCTGACCCGATAGCTCAATGGTAACGTGCTGGCTGTGGAACCTGAAGGTCCTGGGTTCGCTACCTAAAAACATGAGGTCATAAGTGGACACTGCCGAGTCCCATGTGAGGACGAAACAACTGTCTAGTGCTCTCAGGTTTCCAACGTTTCTTCAGCTGATGTCAGTCCATGACGTATACCAATCTGAAATCAATAAATAAGTCAAAACTCCAAACTGAAGTAACTAGTTAAGTTTTCATGATTGATATATATATATATATATATATATATATATATATATATATATATATATATATATATATATATATATATAATTGTAACACATCATCCAATTTCCTTTTCGTATTTTATTCCATTTATTTCTTCACTTGAAAACTTTTCCTAGTGCTGATCTACAAACAGCTCATAAAACAATGTCAGAACTATGTGAAACAGTAAATATTGGCATGCAACTTCGGGGATTATCGGTAACTTTTAATTCTTTAAAGATTTCCTCTTGTGATATTCGTTTTGCAGTATATTATATGCTGACTTTTTATTTTCTTTACAACTGGTGTCATGAGCGTTTGTATTCTTGTAGTAGTTAATTGTGGTCAAATAAAGGTACTCAAGCTACAAGGATGATCGAAATAGGCTGGTAGTCAAAGAAAATAGTCCATCTTGCGACTAATACTCAAAGCGAGAGTCGTACCGAATTTAAATGTGCTCAGGCACTTTGTATACGTTTGGACAGTAGACAATGGGCCCCACCTATTATGTGAGGTTTAATTATGCTACCTGGCTACCCAATTTTCATTTGATGAAGTAGGGTTCTAACCCGTGATACAGTGGTTGAAAGTCATCTCTCTAAACCGATAAGCCGCAGTTCCACCAAAGATGGAGTGAACAAATTGAAACTAGTAGGCGAACATAAAACAAAAAAATAATCAATCTAAGTAGAGTCATTAATCACTGAATGCCTAAAATGAAACGTGGAGAAACGAAATCAGATATGTACATATCCAAATGTTATTTCAGATTTCATTTTCAGTGATGAAAACACGTTAGAAGTAATGTTTCCTGATATTATTCGTATGATGGATCTCATGAATTTTTCCAGTAGAAATTGTATTCTACATATGGGTCTATTCTATATTTATGGACAATTTACATCTGGTTAGATTAAAATTCTCTCAACAACCTTGTGCGGATTTTTATAGTATGCAATGAGCCACATCTAATGTATAAGGGATAATGATACTACCTGATCGCCTAAACTTCATTAAGAGGAGCAGGCCTGAAACTTGTGATTCAACATTTGAAAGTCTACTACCTAGACTCTACTCATGTTTAGTTGCTCTACTCTTTACTGTTATCATTGTCTAGATCATAAGCTATTGTAGTGTCTACCTTTAGGAAGACTTTGGCAAGGTACGTATATTTAAAACCTTGAGAAAATTCACCTTTATATTGGGTATCACCATATTAAGTGCAAACCAAAATATATCTTAATGGTATTTAATTCCTAATCCATTTCACCAAATTGTTATTTTCATGCCTATCAATGGGCATTGGTTGATTCCTTTCCTTAATGCATGTACACCTATTGAAGTATACTAATCCCAGTTATTTATTAGAATGACTTTAAAGTCCACCCTAGCAACTGATAGAATAACCAATCACATTCATCTATTCTATGAAGAATTGTCTCCCCAGACAAAATACCGCAACCTGATTGGTTATTTTTAGCAGTTGTTAGAGTGGCCTTTAAAGTCATCCATTCATTATGTTCTTTATTCTTGAAAAACTTACCCTGTGCAATTTTATCTACATTAAGGTTCGTCCATCGGAATTAGGACAATTTCTACTACAAGGTGATTTCACTGTATCACGTGATGATGTACGATTCATGTCCAGTAAGCAACGTCATGTCTTTCTATTCACTAATGCTATCCTCCTTACAAAGTATCGTACTTCATCCAACTCTTTTCTACCTGTATTAACCTATCCAAGTACGATAGTAAATTCAACAATATCAAACTTATCAAGAGATTATTCTCTTGATTCTTATGATAAGTCAACAGGTAATAATAATTATACTGTACAAAATCAATCTAACAATCCGATGGGTACAACATCGAATCTATTGGCGTTTACTAAATCACTTACATCTAACAGTGGAAGTAGTAATATTAATAATATGGTTTTGAATTCTGCTTCCACATACTCTTCTGGTCCTTATTATGAAATTAAGCAAGAACTGGAAGTGAGTTGCTCTGTGTTTAATGTGTTTTTCACCACTTTTTTTCTCCTAGTTAGTGTTTGAAAATTTGTCTACTATGCGGCGTTGACATTCTTTTATAACGTGAAAGTTCTCTTTACGAGCTGTCATGCCATACAACTTGTCAACTTATCGCACCATATGATTTTGGTATACAGAGTAACTTGCAAATGTAAAACGTACGAGGAATTACAACTATATATGAAACTTACCAATTGATATGGATATGAAATAAGACCAGGGATATTTCAAAGAAGAGTCTCTTTCTAGCGATTTCATTTTCAAAGCTGTACAATCACAAATTTATAAATTTTTCTAGTTTAAACATTTGATAGTTAAAAATGGTTTGTTAAGTATGTCAAGCAACTCAAATAGTGTCAATAAATGAGCTATCATTAGAATAAAAAAGAAGAGGAAGTTTTTTATCCAAAGAACATACAGGATGCGCTTCCTAGATTCCACTGCTAGCCACAATCCAACCTTAACATAATCATATTGCTGGCAATATCGAGGCATCCGCACAGGAGCCCATATACTAATAGAGACCGATCAATTCGGTCCAATCTACGACGATATCATATAAAACCCTTATGCTAAAGAACATCCTGATTGAAAACGCATCATCACCACGTTTCATAGACAAAAACATCAATCCTAAACCTCTCAAAGACAACCTTATCACTGTACCAAAAAAGACACTCTATATGAATCTAAACCTCAAATGTTATTCTGCCGCCAACACTCATAAAAGGAGGATATCAAACTTTGTAAGGAGAACATTCTTTGCATCAACGCTGAAACTAGTATTCTCTTGTCACCCAACGATTCCTAACAACTCAAAAGAGACAATTTCACATCTGACCACTTCTATGTACAAGTATCAATTCACTTGCTCTTATGGAGCCAGGTATATAGGTCGTTTGACATGACTGTTATCCCAAATGGTTGAAGAACACAAGTGCGCGTGGTTACGAAGAGGTAACAATGGAGCGATAAGGAGCTCTATGATTGAACACATCGTGAACACGAATTACTGCATCTCAAGAACTTCGCCATTCAGAGTCGTCTATGAAGTGAAAAGAAACCTTCCAAATACTGTATGTCTTCATATTCTCTTCATCGCCGAAGCTCTTGTCATGCAAAATGGAGAAGCCTGAACTGTGTGCACAAAGGAAGATTGTTCAACCTCTTCTTGTTTCATGGTCTTAGTTTTCAGTCTCCCCTACTTCCCCCTTTTTTCTTTTCATGTTTCTGTTTTGACACTATTCACTTCTTAAGTAATTTTCTGCTCATTCGTATTGCTTTGCTTTATCTGATCACAATTCAGCTTCCAATTCTGTCGTCATGTAATGAGACTTCTGGTCGAAATTTATTATGATTAATATTCCCTACTCATCAGTTTTTGGCTTTTTGATTTTAACAACAGCTCATATATTGACACTATTTGTGTTGCTTGACAAGCTTTACAAACCGTTTTCAACTATCAAATGGTTATACTAGAAAAATGTATAAATTTGTTATTGTGCAGCTTAGAATTATAACTAGTTAAGAAAGGCAGATAGATGGCGAAAATCAACATAGGATATGGCATTACTGCATAATTGTCCGAATTTCCACACCTTATGTTGGCATATCAAACGAGATGACAAATCAAGAAATAAATAAGAAAACAACCAAAAGTGATAGAAAGTCATTAAAGGAGAGTATCACAATACTCTGCCTATGCTACGAAAGCGGTATTTGTCAAATACCTTAAACCTTCTCATCACGTCTACCTTTAATTTCCATGTTTCTTAGAGTGAAATGCAGCTCAATACATTTGGCTTTTCGTCGACACTGCATCGATGGTATTTCTGCAGAAAGTAGATCGAATGTGAACTATCTTCGGTTAGGTTTTACTTCTGACCTTTGTTGGTCGTTTCATATTTTGTTGACTTGTAAAAAAATCTTTCGTTTAACTTAATACATAAAGAAACTGATGCTTTCTGGCATAACTCAACTGCTTCTTTTACAATTTAATAATTCCTGCATTTTACCTATTCTTCTATATTGTTCCCATTAATGTTTCCTGGTCTTCTAAAAAAGGACTATGTTATGTTGCATAGGGCTTTGAAGGCCGTCAGCAGGGTGAGTGGTGTGCCTCTGGCTCAACTGATTAACACTGTAGTTGATAGATATATAAATTCCTGCAAGCTATTAGCTGCAGAAATTTTAACTGACACTGAGCATCCACTTGACTTTTGATCTCCCCATGTATCTCCTCATGGAGGACAAGGAGAAACTACATAAGACTATATGCTCGTACAGCTAAGTATAAGAATTCGACTGTACCTTACCTGGCACGCATATTTTGTGAGGAAAAAAGTGTTAGAACAGAAGTCACACATCAACTTTGTGACAGTTAAAAATCCCATTTCAATAATTCAACTAACAATGTAAAATTTTCTCGTTTTTAGTATTCCTTACATAACTTAAATTTTTATAATAAAAAAATTTGAAATGTTGTAAAAGAGTATGTGTATACATATACTTTGTTGTTGTTGAGAATTGTACCATAAATTGTTTGGGATAAAGTGAATTATTATTATTATTATATCACAACCAGGTGACAGACATTGTAGGTTGGCAAAAGCTAATTGGGCTTTTTGTATTGTTGCAGAGATTTCTGTGTTCCAATAAGCCACCAGAGCTGAGTGTTCAACAAGGCTATTTAATCGTGAAAACTGGTAGTATGTTTAACATTCGACTAAATGTTCTTTATAATTGCTAAAGTGAAACACTTAATTAGTGAGTAACTGGAAATATAGCTTACGCAGAATGGTTGTAAAGCAATGCTTCAGGAGAACTGTTTTTCTGTGATATGCTTTGTTCGGAGGGAAAGTGACACATTCAGATATCATGCTTTAAATTTCATATTGTCTTTTCGGATCTTAACCCAATCAACTCAGAAGAATTGTATTGAGGATTCGATAAAACTGCTGAACTGTTTAATTTGCTAATGACTCTTTGCAAAAACATGAATCTATGCTCTGTGTGTGTGTGTAAAAGTTAGATTCACAATTTCTTAAAAACTGATTATGATATCCCCTATATAATGATGGGTAATATTGTTACTTTTTCAGTTGTCTAAAATTGGATTAACCCCACATTTTCATGGAGATCGTCGACGTTTCGCTGTATGGACGGCTAAACGTGCAGTCACCTTTATATTTCAGTCATCTGATCCAGCCACACGTGATACATGGGTGAAAGCTATCAATGAATTATTAATGAAGCAATTACTTCGAGATCGTTATGAAGTTCTTAATAATCAAGATACACAAAATGGAAACTTATCTTCAGCTAAACAAACGCATTTCAAATCAGATATATCAGATCGTAGTAAAAGTTTACCAGTTGGAGAGAAATCTTCATCTCAAGAGTGAGTTACTTTTCCTTACTTTTATGAAGTCTACATTTCACAAATTTGTCAAAGTAAAAAGTCGATTTGTCGATTTTTCAACATGATAATGTCATCCTCCATTATTATCATACTTGAAATCTTCTCCAGTTCTATTTACCTGTGATTAGCCATCGAACTTTGTCTACTCGGGTTTTCCATACTAACCGTTAGACAAGCCTTTATAACTGTTGATAGGATTTAGATGTTTATTAAAATTAGTATAAATCAGTCTTATAGTTTATTAACACAGAGCGTTATATACTAACTGGAGAGGTTATCAACGTAGATGGAAGGAATCAGTGTTTGAGGACTGATTCTTGGTGACATGGCTGAAAATCGGTCACAATAGTGCAGATGTATTCACTCCTTGATATCTTCAAATATCGTATTAGATGGAAATACACAAAAAGTGGATCATATTTACATCCCTTGAATATCGATCTTGGATGGCATATTTTTCTACTAACTGAATTAACCATCACCACCTTCACTGAACGCAAGATACACAAACTAGCCACTTCACATTATTGCCGTTATTATAGACACCATTTCGATGTTGAGAATTCCATACTGTATCGAATATATATTGTTAGGAATAAAGCTACCATTATTATGATAATTAGAATAGGATGCCAACCAGCCCGGTAACAGGACTTGAACAAGCAAACTTTTGAGGTTTTTCTATCTGTCAAACAGTGATTTACTTATTATTTATCGACTGAGAAATCTATTTCGATCGTAATGATTTCATGCATCTAGTGGTTGTCTTTAATTTCCCTCTGTTGACATATGGGCTACTATGCGAAAGCCTCGATATTGTCTGAACATTAATTGTGATAATTTACTTGGTTGTGACTGGCAGAAGAATTCAGGATGCGCGTTTGATTCTATTTGAGACTCGTCGCCTGGATATACCTGCACCCCAGTGAGTGATGTTGTTCCCACCGAGGCTTGAACCTCGTACCCATCGCTTCAAACGTCAAACGGTTCCAGTCTCAGTGGGAACATCACTCCACACTGGCGTGCAGACACACCTAGGTGACGAGTCCCAAACAGGATGAAACACGCCTCCTGGATTCGTTTGCTAACCACAACCAAGTAGTATATATTGATAGATATTCCATCATTGATAATCAGTACTAGCTAGCTACCTAGCTAACTAAATTATCAAAACAGTTAAACCTAAGAGTAATTGAATGATCACATCTTTGAGTGCGGTTGTAGTCCGTTTAGATCAGTTACTACAACTTCTTCACTAGCCATTTCCATTAATTTACAAAGGCATCATTGAGTGAATGGTAATTTTCAAATTTTCCAGCTATATCTATGCGTTTTTTTAAAACTTTTTTTCTCTTATTATCTTCTTCACAGATGTCGTACGAAAAAGGGATCAGTTGTATCATTACCGTCTACAGTCGATCAGATCTCACAGAGTACACCATCAAATCGATAATATCACTAATTCCAATGGAATTGTTAATTTTTTTATCTTCTTCTGTTGTTTTCTCTCTCATCTCAACACTAATTTCATAGGTGATTATGTACATATCTGTATTCTTGTCTCTATTTATAGACATTATGTTACTAAGGTTGTTTTAGTTGTAAATTCTCTCAATTATTCATCATTCCTATGATTATTTTTCTCTCCATATGTTACACTTTGTTTACCTTCTTTATACTTTCTTCACCCTGCGTCTATATTATCGCCTTTCGGTTCCTTTTGGCATTCTATTCATTCCTTGAGATTATCTCATCCATGATCTTATTCGCATGTGTGTAACGTTTGTATGCATAGAGTTTTTCGCGGTTGGATACTTAACACATTCCGGTTTCCTAAATTTTTCTTTTTTTGTTGTCATATTGTAAAGTTTTATTTTTATTGTCATTGACAAATATTTTCGATAAGTTTTTCCTCTCACTCACTGAAATTGCTACAAGTATTGTAATTATTATTATTATTATTGTCATTTTGGCGACACGAAGTGTGGATAAAATAAACCAGATCAATTATTCAATATAAAGAATATACAGAGAGTAGTCTCTTTGAGAAACAGATTTACTGACTAGAATTTTATTTTCTCCCTTTTTCGATATTTTTTTTTCTTATGATAACAGTTGCTAAGCCACTCATCTTTGCTGAGAATATGCAACGTTATTGTTTTACTACTGGTTTATACTTTTTCGATAATATTCTGTTGATTTATGTATTAAAAGTAGACTCTTTTGTACATGATTTCTACTTTCCTCAGTGACTTGCTTCCTGCATGTGCATATCTACGCCCACGCAGATGCGTAAATTGGACGACTTTTAAGGTCAACCCTAGCAACTGATGAGATAGCCAATTAAATTCTTTTATTTTATGGAAAAGTACTTTTCCAGACGAAATACAGAACCCTGATTGATCATTTCTACAGTCGCTAGGGCGTGACCGTAAATCAGTCTTTGTCCATTCCTTAATTAGTATTGTGTGTTATGTTGGCTAAACCCTGACAATTGTTGTGGGGGCTGGGGAGTGGATTTATCTTGCGTGTTGTCTGATCATAGACAATGACATTCTTGATTATTCCCTATGGTTGATGAATTGTGCTAAATCTATTTGATTGTTTGACTACTTCTAAGGAGGGGAATTCTCTCTGAAATCGAAACAGCTGTTTTATTTTTCTTTCTATTGTTTTCTTCTCAATGCTTCTTCATTGCTTACTGTCAATGTATGAAAAGAATTGCTTGTCTAAAACACTTAAAAACAGAAAAGGTTTCTTGTCTAATTTCATTCTTTTCTTCTTTCTCGATATAAGATGGATCTTTTTGTTTGTTTGAGATAATGAAAAAGATGTTTCATGTTTTTCGTTATCATCAGCATAGCTAACCACCCCCAGTTTCGGGTGTTTTTTCGTTTTAATTTGTTTTCTTTTTTTTTTAATCGTATGAGACGAATCTTTTGCAATTGATTATTTATTTACTCTTCTCTTCAACCCGTAATTCTCTTTTGTTCATATTATTTTAAAGATGATGGAACGTTTTCCTTTCTTTTTCGATCATTATTATTATTTTTTTGTATACACAGTATTATGAAATACACAGTTAATAAGTGTACATAATATTTTGTGTAGCATATTAGAAATTTGTGCCAGAATGTGTGTGTGTGTAATTGTTCTAGTTAGTGGATTAGACAGTAAATGCCCATCCTAATAAAGTATGCTCTCAACTGACGCTTATACATATTTATAACTTCCATAAAGAAGACAGATACTCGAAGCCTACTTTTATAGACCTTTGCTTTCTTGTTACCCTGATATCTATTATACAAACTTATAAGAGCTGATAACACTTGCAGTGAAGATTGCTTAATAATCTAGCATAACAGGCGTATTGTCAATTAACTTTCCTTCGATTATGCACTGTTCCTACTTATGACAAATATTCATTCTTGTTGCTATTTTTTTATTTCAATGTCCACTATAAGATAGAAGTGTATATATCTCCGGGTTAAAATTTCCCCTGGATTCTATCCTAGGGTGTGTATTCAAGGTTCAGTGAACTGGGTTACAGAGATTACTTTGAATGACTTAACTGTTACTTGTAACCAAGTCACTAGATGTGTAATTATGTATTAGTTGATTCTGGGTAAAGTGTGGGAAGAAGAAACATACTCAGCCACCTTGGGCACATCTGTTCACTAGGCATTCACCCAAACCTATTGTATGAGGGTTAGTCATATTACCTAGCTCGGCTACTGGGGTGGCTTTCGAGCTAAGTACTGGCTAAGAATTCTGACTTTCGTCATCTGAATAGTTGCCAGGTTTATTTTTCCCATAGAAACCGTACTATGCCTTTCCATATTGGTTTGTGGGGTCATTCATCAAAGATGTTATATATATATATCATTTGACTAGCTGAAATAGTCGTAGTTTGGCAGACTAGCATTTGTACTGGGTGATGATTGGAGGTGAGGTGAAAATTTGAACCGCATCCGGATTCGAACCAGCGACCATCGGGTTCCCGGTCTACGAGGTCCTCGTAGCTCATCTGGTAGGGTGTTGGGCCGGAAACCTGGTGGTCCCTGGTCCGAGTCCTGCCACGGTCCAAATTTTCGGAAAATTATTTCTCCTTTATCTGAAATTAATTAACTCATTCTTGTGCTTTTTTATAATAGAATATTGAATCAAATCAGGAGTCAGCTACTGTAGAATCCAATCAGTTTGAAATAAATAATCCTTCATTGACTATCAGTTCATCTAGTTGTAAAATAGAGAATATTGAATATGATAAAATTGATGAAAATTGTAGTGTTCAGTCAAATGTAGAAGAAGAAGAGAGTTTATTTTCTAATATCAGTCAACTTTCTAGTGGAATATATTCTGCATTGAAGGAAACTATTGATAAAGTTGATTTGGCCTTCTGTGATTTACAATTCTCTCAAAAGCAGTTACAAGATCAGTTGATTGGATTAGACCAAGGTTAGTCTTCTTTTCAAAATATTCTTAACTGCTTTTATATTATAGGTTGTAAGTGTCCATTTTTGATTGAGTTGAATTGATCCGCCGTGGATGCTTCAACATTGCAGGTTTTCTCAACTCTAATCTCAATGAGGGATTGTGACTAGTAGTAGTGGTGGCGCAAGAAATGATTCGGTGACGTGGTGGTAAACATTCTTCCATCTGAAGAAATTGGTTCCCGGAGCCTTAGTGGAAAAAATACTACTTACTGGCAGGCGGGTGCATTCAGCTGACCAGTCCTAAGTAGGATGGAACTCACCTGCTGAGTTCCACTGCTGGCCACTATGAATCAGTACACCAATTTACTCATCTCACTTACACATCAGCTCAAACCAAATAGAGACGTTCGATTTAGAACAGGATCCAGTTATCTTTATTCCTTTTATAGATATCTAAGTCAATTATCTAAGGTTGTTATCGAGAGTTGAAATAGTTCGTCGTATTTGTTTTCTCTCTTGTTACTCTATGAAAATTTTCGCTAGCTATTCATCTGTACTTCAACACATATGTTCAGTCGGCATCTGAAAGTTTTTCTCAGCCTTTATATGGTCATACTATGTTCTGAGCTACCTATCTAGCCAGTTTACAACTGTTGGAAAGACGAAAGTGAGACGATCTTTACGCAGATTGTCTGTCTGTAGATGGAAGTGTATTGGTATGCATTACCACTGTCAGTTTATGTAGACTAGCTTACAACTATCTGGTTATAACAGAAAAAGTTGCCATTGTATAAAAGGTTTGTAGCTCACAATAAAGATGTCCAGTGTTCTCCTACCTTTGGTGTCTATTCTTGAACATTTCATAAAGTAGTAAGTATTGATTGGGTCACTCTAGAGTGTGGCGGTGAAACGTTCACTAACAAACATCAATAATCAGAGAACATCGAGTAATTATTAAGGAACAGTTTCCGTTTAACTTCAATGAAACAGAAGTAGGAAATATGGACCATTCGATTTTGACCTATTACCTTAATGGTAACAGGTTGACCGTGTAACCTGAAACCCCCGGGTTCGATCCCCGGCGGGGTCACGGGTGGGCACTACTGAGGAGTCCCATACTATCCATCTGATGTCAGTCCATGATGAGTTCCATGAAAACGTCTTTTGATCAAATTTTTTCTCTACCTGAAAAATCTTTATAGTCGTGCAAGTGATTTGACTTTTCCCAGCACATACCTTTTCTAGGTAGTATTCAGCACTGAGTGACATCAATTGGAGAAACATTGAAAACCTGGGAGCAATTGACAGCTGTTTCATTCTAGAAAGGGACTCCCCAGCGGTACGCACCCACGACCCTACTGGGGATCGAACTCAGGTCCTTCAGATCTCTCAGCGAACTGATATCAATCCGTAACGATTATTACCTTGAAGTAAAAAAAATCTTTATAAACCGTTAACTAAATATACTTTTACTCTTTCTCCATTATATTCAGCAATTGGTCGTCTAGCAAACGCTGAAGAAAGCCCTCTAAATTTAGAACCTCTTACAGTTGTACTACAGGAGTATAAGCAACGCGTTTTAAAAGTACACAATTCTTTACGTCACTCACAGGTTTGTATATTGTTATCACTATACAGTATGATTTCACTGAAAATTGTGCACTTTCTGCTTTAATATCTTGATATTCTGTATAACTTGACCTAATTTTATATTCGTTTTCTAAACGTGATTTTCTCAGTATAAATGCACAGACAATATAATGTATAGATTAGCCAACTGCTTATTTTCGGTAATAACACCTTTCTATTATTATTATTATTCATTTTGGAGCCTATTTTTGTGCATACGCACTTATATATATATATATATATATATATATATATATATATATATATATATATATATATATATATATATATATATATATATATAGCTGGAATACTTTTTATGCATAGGAACTTCTTTCTTGTTAAAATTCAAACCTTTGACTATAATGATAACGTATTACATTGTTTTGAAAAGAAATCAAGATTTCATACCGCATAATAAGACAAAACAGTATAAGTTTACATGCTGATTGCTAAGTATCACATGTGCTATATACTGAATGTAGTATAGTTATAGACTGAATGACCTAAGTAATCCTTTGGTTAGTTATCAAGTCTTTAAACTAGCCACTGAGTAATCTTTGAGAACGTTTTGTTACATAACACACTGAAATAAACTTATGTATATGTATTATCATTTGACTATCTGAGATAGCAGTAGTTTGGGAGACTAGTATTTTATACTGGGTGACGGGTGATTGAAGGTAAGATGAAAATTTGGACCGCTGCCGGACTCAAACCACCGCGCTACCGGCTGGGTGCTCTACCAACTTATATATATATATATATATATATATATATATATGCATATGTGCATATACGGAGAGAGAGAGAGAGAGAGTATTCATTACGGGCCGACATCAGTTGAAAAAACCATTGAAAACCCGGGGAGCACTGGATAGCTGTTTCGTCCTAGTATGAAACTCAGCAGTACGCAATCATGATCCGTCTAGGGGTCGAACTCAGGACTTTTAAGTTTTACGGCGAACCCGTTAACCGTTCAGCCAGTGGGTCGAAGTTCAATGGTTCACAGTTTCCAACTTTTGTCAATTCTCGATATACCGAGCTATCCACCATGGTTTTCAGTTGGCATCCATTTCCCTTCCAACTGGTTGACTGCACAGTTCACGACTTCTGATTAGAACTTCGAGGTATTCATCTGGTTTTTAAACATTTTCCAGATGACGAGAATCAGTGGTGAACACTTCTTCCATATATATATATATATATATATATATATATATATATATATATATATATATATATATATATATATATATATATATATATATATACGAAAAAGGCTTTAGGATTATCGAACTAAATGATCTAGCTTTATGCTGATTCGCAGATAGCCGATTTGAAAGCGTGTGTTTCTGAGACTACTGTGAAATGAAGTACAACCGGTTTGACCAGTGTGATGTAATGACATTTGTGTAAAAAAGTTCTTTTCGATGGAACTAAATCATTCCATTATCTCTACTTATGTATATGCTGGACAAACTTATGGATGCACTATAAGCTTAAGAGTATTTTATTCCGATTTTGAACTCAGTTCCAGACGGGATTTCATGTACGTTGACGTTATTATCCAGAACCCTGGGGGATCGGTCTTTTCATCGGGTCAGGACACATTAAAACAACGCTTCCAAGTGAGAATGAGCACTCTTTTCAGGGGACTCTGTTAACGCAACCTCAAGACTGATAGATGTAATCCCAGAACCCTCCTAACTGTCAGGCTTCAACGCATTCACGTTCGCCGGGTAATCGAATCCTCTGACTATATTCACCTCCCGGTGGACAAATGTACGCAGGACTCGTCTCATCAAGTTTCACAAATCTTGCGGAAGAGATGTAGCTCACCTTCACAAGAAACTATTGCCCTCTCAGCGTACTGATTCAACTTCAGAGGCTCCTCCCGAGCCTCTTAAAAACAATCATAGCTAAGACAAACGATACCCAGTATTCCGAATCGAATATTGGGCCACCTTTTAAAACTGCTTCAACAATTGTGACTACTGAAATTAGGAAGCTGGGTTTTCTTATCTTTCGTTTCCACTGCTCCCACCACACTAAGAGGGATCCTGACGGTTACCTAGGTCGTCTATACTTTGGAGACCCGCACTACTGATGTTCACACATGGATCTCGTCTACCGCGTTTATCGCTAAGCCAACTCTGAAGGATTGATTAATATCCAGTGGGACTACGTGGAGGCTCGCCATCGTTGCCCAACTAGGTTCAGTCTGTAATCACTGGTGTACACCCCTTCTCCGGTTTTCCAAGCCAACAGTTCAAACGTCCACACCACGTAACTGCTCTGTGTAGAGCTTCTTCACATTGACTCCCTGATACTCAACTACGGTGGAGGCATTTGTTCATCTTAGGAGAGTCATAATTATAAGTTTGTATCATCTATATTTTATCGTTTGACTATCTGAGATAGCCGTAGTTTGTCAGACTAGTATTTATACTGGGTGATGATTGAAGGTGGAATGAAAATTTGGACCGCGTCTGGATTCGAACCGAAAAACACCGGGTTTCCAGCAAGATGCTCATCTGTATTTCCTTGTGTAATTTTTGGCACTGAGAAATATATTAGTTCACGAAAGTGAATGTATGCATTGAATTTCATCATCTAGTGTGTGTCATTGGTGCTTATTTGATGGACTCTTCAAAACGTACAGTTAACTAAAAATCCTTTATACAGAATAGCTGTTAAGCTACTGAAATGATGATAATGCCCATTCCATACATGTTTGTTTATCAAATATCGATCCTTTATCAATGCGCCAGTTTAGCTTGTGATTAAAGTTCTCAAAAATGTTTGAATTAATTCCGTTAAATAAAGCGTTGAAACTATTGACTGGCTGTATATTGGCACGTTAGTATATATTCAAAGTAATGTTTTGTAATGTAGCTTTCATTTATGGCCTCAATGTAAACATAAATATATCAGCTAACAATGATCCAAGACCGACTTTCTACAGTAGCACTATCATATGGTTCGCATGGTTTACTCTGAAGGTGGAATTCAGTTTGATGGTAGCTGAGTGTTATTGATAGTGATATAACAAGGTAAATGTCTTATTTAAATTTATCAAATGTATAAACTCTTCTTTATTATTACTTGTAACTCCCTGTTGTTATACTCGACTGAATTGATCGACCTCTCTTGGTATAAGAGCTCCAATGCAATACTGCCAGGATATTTATTATATTGTAGTCTGTTTAGCGGTTAATAGTGAAATCTATGGTGTGCGTTTCGTCATGTTTCGAGCTCATCAGCTGGATAAGTGATAGTAGTCCCACTGGTACTGGACCCCCTCAACCATTACTTCATATGTCTCGGTGGTCCGTTAGATGGTCTATAGGATAATGCTTTGAAGTTTGAAGCGATGGGTACTGAATTCGGAGACAAATTCTTTTTGCTTCTTTAACAGTTTTTATATAGTCGGAGTTTGTCTTCAATAATTATTGAAGACGTGATTTTGCTAAGTTTATGGTTTCTATAAATATCATTTCCTTTAGTTTACTGCTTAATATATATTTCTTTTCAGGATAGAGTCAATCGTCTGCGCCACAATTTACAAGCGAAGAAACTCCATTCTTGAAGTTAATATTCTATTCTTATCATGGCTGTTGTACAATATTTAAGAGGTTTAGATCTATCTGGAATCAATTTTGAAAAGCAGAAAGATCTTTTAGACAAACAAAGATTAGCTCGACGTACTCATACAGATACTACAGATAATGATCTGTCCTCATCTCTTTCTTCAATATGGCCTTCCACTGAAATTCTTCAAGATATGTGTCGTTTACAATGGTTAAAGTTAAAGAATGTTGGTTTAAAGGAGAAATTTCTTCCAAAAGAAATAACTCGACTTGAACAACTGGAGAGTTTATCTTTAGCTCGAAATGAATTGACTTCATTGTGTTCTATCAAAGGTTGGCCAAGTGTTTTGCCAAGTTTACGAATGATAACATGTCGTAAAAATGAACTGGCAAGTAGAGATGCCATTCCCTCAGATTTGTTTGAATGTAATAACCTTCAGGTGGGTCGAGATAAAACATTTATGTTAACTGGACACGAAAAATTTAGTTGAAAGTGTTTTAAACTGATTCCATACTGTAATATGCATTAATTATTTGGTTCTACTTTTAAATCTTTGATGTCGTAGTATCCCAATATCACACTGTTTTCTCTCCTGTTTACAGTTTTCACTTCTTTTTCTATTATTCTGTACTTTATTTTGTTATTATCTTCCTTTATGACGTCATTGTCTGTGAAGTAATAGCTGATGAAGTCATCTAGATTAGTGGTGAAATTTTCACGAGAAAATACCAAAAATTGAGGAGCAATCAATAATTATCCTCTTTTTCGTGAGCTGCATATCTTCACTACTACTGTTAAAATGTATGTTGGAATTATGACCACTGTGTTAAGAATACTGCTATACCTTCGTAGGTTTAAGTGATTCACTAGTGTGATTAGCCTTCGTACAATGAACACATCGATAGGAAGGAGGCTAAATTAAAATCAGCATTCCAAGTCATCAGCCGCTAAGACAGAAGTTTTGAACTTCAACCTTATTTCATGTTACTGTGTAGGCAGGAAAAACCTTATTGGACAATTTTGATATATCTCAGCCTCTAATTTTACAATTTATTAATTCCTGTATCTTGTATATTCTTTATTGTTTCCCGTTAATCTTTTGCGGATCGTTTGAAAAAAGACCGTGTTACATTGCATAGGGCTTTGAAAGCTGTCAGTAGGGTGTGTTATGCCTCTGGCTAAACTGATTAATACTGTAGTTGATAGATATTTAACTGCTAACAGGTAACTAACTACAGTCATTTTAACTGGCATTAAGCATAGACTTAATTCAGAACTCTCTCTTTGTATCCGCTCAGGGAAGCTTACAGGAAATCTCATAAAGCTATGCCTTGCCTAGCACGCATCTTATGTGAGGAAACAAGTATTACAGGGGAACTCACTTATTAACTTTAAACCAAGAAATGACCATTGATGTAAAAAGTTTTCTCGTTGCTAATACTATTTACACAATTTAAATTGTTATACTTAACACTATTCGAAATGTTGTAAACAAGCATATATGTTTTTGTTACAATATAACATGATGAAAATCCTAAATTGTACCAGAAAAGGCTTGCAATAACATGGTTGTTATACTAATTTGTTTGGTTGTGGCTAGCAGAGGAATCCAGGACGCGCGTTTCGTTCCACTTGGGGCTCGTCAGCTGGATGTACCTGCTCCCCAATGCAAAGTGATATTATTCCCGCTGAGACTGGAACCTCGAACCCATCGCTTTAAACAACACAAGGTCACTGAGGTATAATGACCACCTCCTGTACAACAGGTATCAGTTATTACCATTTGTTGATATACTTGTAATTCTTCGTGGCTTTACTTGATCTAATTGTTCGACCACTGTGTTGAAGCGATAGGTACGAGGTAGTGTGATATAGGTTCATTCAGCTGATGAGTCTGAAGCAGGATGAAACACTCTTTCTTAATTTTGCTGCTAGCCAAAACCAAGTAACTTACCATAATTAATGTTCAGGTAATTTCGAACCACCGGGATGGGAGCCTATTTATCAACTGAGGTTGAACAATTTGACCCAGTAATACAACAGCGAATCACAAGCGTATCGACAAGTAGTGAAAGGTGATTATTATTATTAACATTATGATGAATGTTGAGTTTCACAATCTTTGAAATTTTCCATTATTTTCATGGTTATTTCAATTTGATTATGATTTCTAGTCATTTCACTTTCTCTCTCTTTTTTTTTTCGTCTTCCATATTTTAGGTTGTTGATTTCAGTTGTAACCAATTGACACAATTACCTAAAGGGATTGAAAAAGCAAAAGGCTTACTTGTATTGAATTTAAGCCATAATCAAATATCATTAGTATCACCGGATTTATTTGTTCAATGTACAGAGTTAATGTTTTTAGATTTAGGTAATAATCGATTGGAAAGCTTACCAGCTCAATTACGTCGTTGTTGTTCATTACAACAGCTTATCCTTTGTAATAATCCATTACGTCATGCTCAACTTAGATCTGTGACAGCACTTAAACAACTTGAGGTAAATATATTGTATTTTTTTCTTTAATGCTAAATAATTTGTATTAATTTAATTGATAAATAGCTAGTTAGTCTACGTTTGGATTTGTCTAAAGTTCCCTGTTTTCTTTTGAGTTTTAATTCGAGAAATTTGATGATACATAGTTTATGTTCAGAGTACCTAACAATTGATAGAACTCTCATTATACTATGGAGAATGATATTGAAAGAGTTTTAACACCATATTCATTTAAAATACTTCAAGTTGTGACGAAATATTGACTGGATTTCAGGTTGATTTCATCTTGATCATATGAGCTCTGAACTGTTCATTTGACGTTTGTATTATTACTATTATTCTGCTTTTGGTCTCATTGGCCAACATATTCTGTAGGCACTTACTACGGAATTCTGAATATAATAAAACAATACTGGAAACACTTTCATAGGAAGAACTTATCTGGATCTTTTATAGGCAGTTTGTTTGTTAGATATTAGTCAGTCATGTAAATAACCACTGGAAAAGGTTTTATTTCAGATTGAGGCTTCATATTTCAAATCCTTAGCTTCGTTTAAGTGGTAACCTAATGTCTCGTAGGAAGCTTGTTTTATAGATGAACTACTGCTTCATAATTCATACCTATCCAGTTCATGATTCAGTATGTCTAATCTTCATATGTTTATTGGTAGGTAGTTATCTTTGTTTGGGTAATTAGAGATCCAGAGAACAGATCTCTTGAGAAATAAGCCAATATTAAGTAATCTGTTCTAATTTCTGATTGCGTCATCCTTAGATTAATTTCATTATTTCAATAAGAAACAAAGGATTTGTTGCTTATAGGTTTAAGGAGTTGACTTTCAAGCAAGAATTGGGTTCCGGATTCGGTTCAGTTAACCATGTAGTGTGATGAACCTTCATACAATATATCCACAAGTTTCCTGAATAGATCTTGATCTCATAGTTAATCGTAAAAAATGAATACTTCTTGACATCTGTTTTTCTCTTAGCTACTGAAAGTTTATCTTCACTTACACGTAGTAGTTCTCCGCGTATAAAACCTGGACTTTCGCTTTGTGCATCAGTTGAATTGGGAAGAATTAACAGTCATCTTTGTATCGTTATTATACTAAATCACTTGTTTTATTCTCCTTAACCTACAGATAAGGAGGAAATTGGAAAATTAATGACTGCAGCAGCTTAAGTAGTAGCTAATTTCCTAGTATAAGGATATGGAATGAAGCAGTCGGGATCATCATGTGGAAATGCATTAGTCTAAATTTATTAAGTGTTGATAAAATCTCAATTCATATACCAATCGTCCGTTTGACACATAAGAAAATATATCACCTATGACGGTGTCAAAATATCTGACTGTACGCCATATGAGCAGTGATGATGTTAGTCGTAAAGTGATGGGAAAGGAAGGCTAGTTAATTGGTCTGCTTCTTAACCTTCATTGACTTTGGTGCTTTAGACATATGTTGCACATGCTGAGCTACCGCCTTCCTCGATATTCACTGTTAACCACAGTGGTGTTACACTGTAAGAAAGTTGTCCATATCAAGACGTGACACCAACCTATGAAGTCTTTTACTGTTCGTATGAGCCGATTGAAGAAGACGAAGGCTAACTGACTAATGGTTGTCACTGGGATAATAGTCAGTAGTTTAACACGCTCTTCAACGCCTACTCTTGTTGAGACATGTCTAGAAATCGGTCACAATGGTGAAGATGTATTTTCTCTTTAATGTCTTCTAAAGCTTAAGAATTTGCACCAACCGTTATTTTGAAATTTTTTATTGTCTCACACAACTTTGTCTACTTTGATATAAGTCTTTGTATCCACCTGTTATTTTTGTGCTACCGTAAAGTGTGGCAAGTTGAGCCAATTCACTTGTGTCTGAGGTGAGGTTCTACGTTGATTTTGTCAGTCACTCAGCATTAATTTACCGGTATAGTTATGCTAACCGATTAGTTTAAGGCATGGAATCACCTCTGACTGCAATCACTCTGTAGGCGTAAATATTTGAGGTTTTATTATCCAATAAATGAGGTTGATCTACTTCTCGATGTAAAAGAATATTTCATCACAAATTTGAGTCTAAAAGTCAAGCAAAAGATGTCGCTGGCATGCATACGTGACCTTTAGACAAAACTGTCTTCATTGTAAAGTTATGATACCTAATTAGTTATTCCACTTAAAATGTGTCGCGTAACATGACTTATATCGCAATAATAATAGACGGTGGGGTCAACCAAACCATAGTAATTGTAGTTCTTATCGCTGTTTCTAATACTCTAATCAGTTCTACGCTAATTTAATTGTTGGATATTTCACACTTGAAGCTCTATTATTTACTGCATAATGTTGCGAACAAAATCTTTCATATTAATGATGGATTAGTGGCTAGCAGTGGAATCCAGGACATCCTATTTGGGACTCGTCAGCTGGATGTAGCTGCCTCCCGGTGAGTGATTCTGTTCTCAACGACGGAGATTCGCAACCCATAGCATCACAGACTAAAATATACTCGTCGTAAACAGAGTGCTTGCCGTAACTCAATGGCTTAGTATATTATAGTTCCCTGGAGTTTGAAGCGATCGCTACTGGATTTGAGTCTCAGTGGAAACAACATCACTTACTAGGAGACAGGTACATCCAACTGATGAGTCCAAAATAGAACAAAATAGAACCCTGAATTCTACCACTATAAATCAATCATATCAAATTTGCGACATTTAAGCAGCAACCCATGTGTTAATGATAGCTAATCGATTCAGTTCAATCGATGACAGATCCACAAGCTATATCATCAAATCATTTTCTATCGATATCCATATTGAAGGTAACTTCGCATCACAATCTAGAATGGTAGACCTTAATAAGATGTGTAGAGAATAAAGTTCATAAAAACATAAGGACTGTGAATATGAAAGGTCAAGTATGTTGGCAAAATGAAGCCAAAATAACAATGAAAATCAATAGAGTGAAAATAATAGTACATTGAACTTGGTTTCAGAATTAAACTCACTAAAGGAGGTTTAATTTGATAACAAACTGCTTTTAATGATGCAAATGTGACTGGCATAAGCTTCCTAATACGTTTTGTGAGTAGTTGTAAGGGACGTAGAAATGACGATCGTGTGGTCTGCCTAAACGATATATTTCGCAGTCGAAGAACTTGAACGTCCGCTACTAATGTACAATGGTTTCAAGTGATTTGATAAGCTTTTGAAGTCACTTAGAAATATCTTCCGAGTCGTTTACTTGCATAGACCCATAAATCTTTCTCATTTATGTGTCACCGCATGTACATTTAAATCAGTAGATGCAATGGGATATGATATTATATTTCGTTCACATGTCGTAAGAGCTTGTGAAATATGCTTTGTAAATTCATTAAACGATTCAAATAAATTACGTCCTTTACTGATCTAGCAGAGGAATTGAGGACGCACATTTCGTCCTATTTGGGACTCATCAGCTGGATGCATCTACACTCTAGTAGGTGGTGTTTTCCCCACTGACGCTTACTTCAAACGCCAGGGCGTTATCCACTAAGCGAATAATAAACTACTTCTGATTGTATTGTTCAACTTTGTAAATAGAACTAATTATTTTATATGTTTGAGTGCTCTTTTCCGGTTATTTAAAATTGAATAATGGTTTTTGTTGTTATTTTTTAAGGTGTCTTTGCCGACATCTGTATGTTCAATTTTCTTCTCCTTCAGGTGTTGAATTTATCAGCCACTGAACGAAGACTTGATAACATACCGAATGAATTAGATAAATTAGAACATTTAATTGAACTGGACTTATCATGTAATCTAATAACAAGGATCCCTGAACCAGTTTTAATGGTACGTCTGCTTTATATATATATTCCCCAGTTACCTGAGAGATTATTAGAGTGAATTTTACACCTCTTATTGTTGTATATTCATTGGAATGTTCAGACAGTTAAGTGTAACACTGGATATTGTTTATATTTCTGTATGTTTGAACTAAAATAATTCCACAGTTTTGCATGGAAGTCTAACTGCTTCATCTTGATTATTTCCCTGAAGTAGCTATGATCAGCCAGATTTCCATGCAAAACCGTGGAATTATCATAATTCAGGCTAAGTGTGACTTACACAAATAGGAAACGATATTCAATGTCATTCGTTTACTCGACGCTCAATATTTTCAATACTAATTCGGTCAAATCTTGATAGTAGTTTAAGTGTAAAGCTGCTGCAACACTCAGTTATGCCACAATGCAGAATATTCCCTATCATTTGCCAGTTGCGCAATACACACCGATTACACCATATACCTCGAGTGTTTACAATGCACCGAAAACGTTTATTCATCTATTTACCCAGAAAATTTCGACTATGAAACTTAGTAACAACTACTGTAATAAGGTAGATGAAACTGCCGAATCATTATTATTGTTACTATTAATTGACAGCTGCCAAATACGACTTTGTGAGATGTCTAACATTACGGATAACCTACATCAGTTGGAGGAACACTAGAAACCTGGGAGCACTAGAGATTTGTTTCGTCCTAGCATGAGACTCTTCTGAAGTGCGCACCTCCGGAGATAGAACCCAGTGGCTCAACGGTAACGTGCTGGCCACAGGACCTGAAGGTCCTGGGTCCGATCCCTAGTGGGGTGGAGTCACGGGTGTGCACTGCTGAAAAGTCGAATGCTAGTACGAAACAGTTGTCCAGTGCTCGCAGGTTTTCAATATTTCTTCAACATATATCAGTGCATGATGAATACCAACTTGAAAAAATCCCCACAAACCCCCAAGTTCAATACAGGCAAGTCTGCTTATTGGTTAAAAAATGACTTTGCAGTATATAATCCTCCCACTGTATTTACAGTGTTAAACGTATATTTGTATCATTTTGTCAGAAACGTTTTACTAGAGTAAATCTTTTATATTGCATTTGAGTTTAAGGGAATGAAACTAATCATACAATGGAGCCTGTTGTGCTCCTTTTGCCACTTATTATGTCTTTGTCAGTGAGTGCTTAGTAGAGTACCTGAGTTATTTAGTTATTTATGTATAGTAGTGTTGACACCGGCTTGATGGTCGGTCTTTCAGTTTCTTGACAGTGGTAAACGTGGTAAGATAACAAATGTATTGCAAAGTCAAAAAGTATCTTCAAACTATAAGAGTTTACATACACTTAAAATGACCTTGGTGGTTTTTAGTCCTTTTTTAGATTTCAATATCCTATTGATATTTGTCGCTTCAACCAATCTGATATTTACTCGTTGGTTCACGTAACCTTTCTCGAAACTTCAGCGCAACAAGATTGGTTGTAACAAGTTTCACGGGTTTACCGCTTCTTATGAAGATTTTTTTAACTTTATTCCACACTGTCACAAAACCTAAACGTTTATCTCTGCTCCTTGTCTACTACTTCACGTTCAATTCGATTATAATTTGATGGATTCTGTGTTCTCTTTTCTCATGCGTTACATATTGACCATGTTATATGATGAATAGTTATCACATATCCGTATCATATTTTAAGATTATTTCTCATCCTTTATTTATCTCAAATATTTAATGTATTTTTGGTGTATTCCTTGTGAAGCTGTGGCTAAAAGACTAGTGGAGATGACTTTCAAATACTGGGTCATGGGTCCGAACCCCACTCTATCTAGTGAGGTTTAGACAGCCAAGTAGCAGTACAGTTAGTCATCCCACATACAATAGGTGTGGCTCATTGTCTACTACACATGGTTGCTGTGTGTATTTCGACTTTCTTTCGGATTTCAACAGATTACACATACCTCTGTTTTACTTTAATTTCTCTTTTCGATCAAAAACAAACAAATATTCCGAATTGAATCCAGCTTCGAAACCTACGTAAACTACATTTAGCGTATAATGACTTATCTGACTTATCTAATTTGACCGGGGATTGGCCTAAATTAGAATATCTTAATCTCAGTTACAATCAGTTAACTCATCTACCGACTGGATTAATACGTCTGTCTTGCCTGCGTAAATTATATGTGAACAATAATCATTTGACATTTGGTGGTATACCATCAGGAATTGGTAAACTGCAAGATTTGGAAATATTCGATGCATCACACAATGAATTGGAGACAATACCTGAAAGTGAGTTTATATTTATTACTGTTTCTTGCCTAATATAGCCTAGGGAAGAAAAAGGTAATAGGTATTTGACTTTGCTTTTATGGATATTCTCTTATCTCTTCTGGATAGATTTAATCACAAGTTGATATCACCTGAATATTGATTGGAAATCGAGTATTACAGAAAAACTACTTCGATTTGCTAGTCATATCTTATTCTAAACGAAAGCAATGAACATTGGGAAGGTAACACACACACACACACACATTCTCTCTCTCTCTCTCTCTCTCCTTTTTGTTCTATACTTTTCAGTATTCCACTCAGTCAGTGCTATTTGTCACGATTCATTTGTGACATGATCGGCAGTTTGTTTCAAAATTGAACTCAGTTCAGATGGATTCTTATTCATACTGTCTTACATCTTAAGGATTTCTCTCTTGACATGCTTATATGAGGTGTGGCAACTGGACCGTTATGCAGTATTTCTTGATCCTATGATGATGATAATTAAATTCAACAATTATTAAATTTTTTATCATAAAGTTATTGCAGTTTTCATGTAGACATTATTTGGCGATTATATCATAATTTATTGGTTATGAATCTGTAATCACATACTGGTCGTCTATGCAAATCATTTTGACATGCAGGGGCTTAAACCAAAATCAGCATTCCAAGTTATCAGCCGCTAAGATAGTAGTTTTGAACTTCAACCTTGTTTCATGTTACTGTGTAGGCAGGAGAAACTTTATTGGACAATTTTGTCCTACAACTGACGAATCAGATCAAGTATCCAACTTCTGACCTAGTGGCTTTATCTTCTTAGGGAGAACTGTATATAAATGTGTTTTTTTGTTAAATGAGGTGTCTTCCTTGCAGTCAGAGACCGATTTTTGTTTTCTAATTTTTGCGACCCAGTGAAGTATCAGTTCCTGAGGTAGAACAGTTCCTATTCTTATCTTGTTCAGGTATTCCATTGTCTTAGTAACATCTTCGTATTTTGTGTAGTTTTGTCAGTCACTTCCGTTCGGTCGCTTCACTTTTGTAGTAGTCCACATAGTTATTGGGTCTATCATTGAAACGAGTTATAGCCGGAACATTCTAGAATTTCAAGCTGGTATTCACCAAGTACTGACGTCACGTGGAAAAAAATAGAAACCCGGAAGCACTGAGTAGCTGTTTCGTCCTGGTATGAAACTCCTCAGCAGTTCGCACCCACTCCACGAGGCACTCGTTACCATTGAGTCACTCGATCGGAATCCAAAAGTCCACATTTCTCTGCTTGTATCAGTTCACAATATGGTACGACCTTCATCTGATGCCGTCGTTGCGTACGTTCGGCTTGCCTTTCCCTACACCGGGTCACGACTTCTAGGTAGAAATATGGGGATTTCGTTTCGGAGCGGAACCTAAAAGTTTTGGTTTCCATCTCTGACGGTGTCTCAGGTGCGCACTGCTGATCAGTCTCATACTACGATGGAACAGCTATCCAGTGCTCCCTGGTTTTCACTAGTTCTTTAACTGATGTCAGTTCGTTATAAATACCAATTGAAAATCAATAAACTCTTCACAAACCTGAAAATCGAACTTTCATATTTTTTAGTTGGATTGAGGCAATCGGCGGAGGGACCCTGCTTGTCACAGGTTTTGTCTTTTTTGGCACTTGAAGGGATTGATGTTTTTTCTGAGACTTGAACTCACATCACTCAGTGTTGCAGTCAGCGATTTTGTCACTGAACTATTCTGGTGGCAAATGAGCTCCTATAGGACTTGATGAGATACATTGATTGGTCACGGGAGAGCGACCGATTTCATGTTGTTTGGTGTTGAATGCTGAAGGAATTCTGTCCATCATTTCGCAATATGACCACGAGGTTAGGAGTGTAACCATCTCGGTGCACGTTGATGGATGTTAGTTGAATCAAAGCAGTTTATAAGAAACCCAGGACTTCAGTATTTTATCGATGATTATTTTAGTTACATGATGGTTATTTTTTCTTTTTTTAATTATCCCGGTATTTATCAGTAGACTAGCTGAGACTTAATTCCATTACTTTTGTCTAGGTCTTTGCAGATGTGGTCGTTTAAAACGTTTAATACTTAATTCCAACCGTCTTCTTACACTCCCTGATGCAATACATTATTTAAAAGAATCCTTAGATATTTTGAAGTTGATAATAATCCTCGATTGAAAATTCCACCGAAACCACTGGAATTGCAAAAAGGTGCTGGTTTAGCCTTTTATAATATCGATTTCTCTTTGGACGCCCAACTGCGTATGATGCGTGGAAAACCAGCTTTAACGTCTGAAACAGTTCAGCATACCAAGGTAGTGTATTCCATTCGTTTATGTCAATGTGTTTTGATTATTTGTTGAAGCAAATCTAAGTTTGAATTTTGAGGAGTTTGTAGGGATTAAGAGATAGATATTTCAAGTTTGTATTATTGTAGACTGACATCAGTTGGAGGAACAATGGAAATCTGGGAGCACTGGACAGCTTTTTCGTCCTAGTATGGGACTCTTCAGCAGTGCATACCCATGACCCCGCCACACCAGGGATCGAACGCGCGACCTACAGGTTCAGTGACCACGTTACCATTGAGCCACTGGGTTGGAATCTAATGGTCCATATTTTCAAATTCTGTCAGTTCACGACATACCAACTTGAAATATCTATAAATCCCTACAAACCCCTCAAAATTCAATTGAGCTGGTGCTCATTAGTGACTAGCTTCGAGTGGTGATTCCCGAAGTTCCAGTGAGAAGTCGTGACCAGCAGGGGAAACCTGATGACCGTGAGGACAAATACTCACAGATGACATAGGGTGGCGGTTGCGCTACGTCGTGAGCTGACAGAAGGTGGAAATATGGACCATTGGATTCCGACCCAGTGGCTCAGTGGTAGCGTGCTAACCATGGAACCTGAAGGTCGCGGGGTCGTTGGAATGCGCTGTTGAAGAGTCCCATAGTAGAACGAAACAGCTGCCCAGTACTCCCAGGTTTCCCTTGTTCCTCCAACTGATGTCAGTCTACGATAAATACCAACTTGAAAACTAAATTTGATATTGTTATGTGAACTTTTGTTCTTCCAAAATTGTTTATTGATAGAAGTGGTTTATAATTATCAGAATACCATTCTCCGAGATGTTTTGTTCTTTGCTAAGAACTCTTAAGATAGCTTACAAATGTCCCATATTTTTCATTGGAAATGGGAAGTCTCTGCAAATATTCAAAAGCTAATCTCACTGTATTATGAATACACGATATTCGTAAATTGAACAGGTTCCTAGTGTTCAATGCATTTCAATCCAGTTCGATATATAGTATCGAACTATCTCGTATGTCCAATGAAATTGTATATGTATATCGAAGTAACTAAACTAATACGTTGGATTAGTCATGAAGTCTCTGATTCTCTGTCTGAGTCGTGTTGGAGATGCAGACTAGCTGATTAGGGTCTGCAAGATGAAAAGAATCAGTGGTTTGAAGACTTGGTGACATGGATGAAAATCGATCACAATGATGCAAATGCATTCATCTTCTAAAGCTCGGATATTCGTAATAACCGTTATCTTAAATTGTTTATTCCACACACAACTTTATCTACTTTGATATTACTCTTCTTCTAATTACCTGTTCTTTGTGTACTACTGTCAAGTGGTTGCAATTTGAGGTGATGCAGATGTGTCCCAAGTTGCTGTATTTATATCTGTTTGACATAGATGCTTAAATCATTTTGGGTATATTTGTTTATTTATTGATATCGGATGTAAAGTGTTTATGGACATTAAAGCTTATCATTCATTCAACATAACTGTTGGCATGTTTTGAATCCATCGAAGACTTCCAGTAAAGCAGCTATTTCTGAAGAAATCAGGTTTTAAAACACTAACTCATAGTAATATTATGAAAAATAATGTACTCAAAAAATTCAGAGAATTAGTGTATCTTTATCTTTTATCTTTTGAGGACACTCACCTAAACATAAGAATGAGAATGAACAATTTTCATATAACCGAAGGTGATAACCAAAGTTCTCTTTTCTCTATATAAGAATTATCACTAAGATTCCTGAGCTAAATATATAAATTATGTAAAGTACGTTTAGTTTTTACTTTAGAAATTATTCATAGAGAAGTGTATATACATTCAACTGATTCTCTAAATCATCAAAACAAAAGATCTAATGCATTTACAGTCAATACATGGACGTTTACATTCACATAGAAGCAACTAATATATGGTGCTGATTGAAGATAAATCAATTCAATATCCTTTCGGAATAGAAATAGTTACAGAAACATTGATTCATTCATCTTCAGACACGACAAGAGAAGATATTCGCATTATGCAACCAATAGTGAAACATATTATCAGCAAACTACTAATGATGATCAAATGAGTCCAATTGTAGATGATTTCATCACTACAAGGTAATCGAATCGATCCAGATGGCCGGTATCATGTAGACTATTGATCGAAATATATAGAGCAGGTTTGCGGTGTGACTGCTGAGCTAAGTAACGTGATATTACGTGTGCAACACACATAATGAATATCAAATATTCACCCTGATTATCAAGATATGTCGAAGAAGACCATAATACCAACATAATAGAAGGCAATATATCTCAATGAAGCATACATTTGAGCCATTTCATTTGACTGGTAGTCAGTAATCTTAATACCGGTGATTGAAGTCTGTAATTGAACAAGTATTAAGTAATTAGCACTGGTTGATGGGTAGTGTTTACATAGAAAGGTCAGTAGCTTCATAGTTTCTTCCAGCAATGACTTGTTGGTCGCAATAACCAATAAACCATACTTTATATGGTTTTAGATTCTATGATTAATTTATAACGACCCAAATAAACCGTCGGCTTTATCCTTCTAACCAAAGTGATTTGATAGCAGTTACTGTCGTATTTATTGATGCCTGGTAGCACAATGTTGGCCGAAATAGGTTCAAGTTAGAAAAAGCCTCGAGGCGACCAGACTAAAACACGCCGTCAGTGCATGAAGTCCTTTACTGTTCATTTGAACCGTGTAGGGGTTCGGTTCAGACTAACTGGTTGGGGGTCCGCGGGACAAGAGAAATCAGTGGTTGGAGACTTTAGGTGATATACCTCAGAACCGATGTCAGTGATACAGACGCATACACACTTTATTCTCACACTAACCGCTATACGTAATTTCATTGTCTTCTCATTCTTCCTTCTGCTACTACTTTCTACTACTGCTTCTTTCGACCTACTTTTCTTTCCTTCTTCATCTATTTTATTGCCTTGTTACTTTGTGTGCTGATATGAGGTGTTACAACTTGGACCGTTACACAGTAATGCCTAGTCTTGTGTTGATCTTGATGATAATGATTCATTGATGCAGTAATTGGCCATTAGCTTGCAGTAGTACGTTAAACTTATGCAAGCAAATAAATATATGCTGTTCATACCATTCGGCAGTGTATTGTATCGATTCACGCCAGTCGCTACTGGATAGGTCAAACTTTCGTTGTCGAAATATGACATTCGTTTTAGCGAAATGTTTGACCCTGTGCTTTCACTTACTAATCTGCAAATCTTATATCATCATAACACATGGTGGCAGTCATACTACTTTTTGTTTTCAGAATTGGTTCCTTTTGTTTCGAAAAGCTATAGTGTTTTTCATTTCGAATTTATCTGGATAGGACCCAGCTGCTCGATTACGTCGTCTTAGAAGACGACGAGGAGAGGGCGTTGGCAAAGACAGTAAATGTGTACTTGAAGGTATGCAGCGTATAGCCAAAGAGAAGGAAGAGCTTCTTGAACGAAAGGAACATGAAGCTGAAGAAGAAACACGTGAATTGGCAGCCAGACGTTGGCAAGATCTTCTGGCCAGACCACGACTGGATTACACAGGGATTTTTGATGAGGCATGTGAGCTTTGAGTTTATACGATGTATTGTTGTTTACCTACATTTGTAAAAGTGATCTCGAGAGCTTTTTGTGCTCTATCTCTCAGATACCTTTGATATTTGATAGGGTACTCTAACACTATGATATCTATCCTGTGTCGAAACGTTTTTTCATGATATTATTAGGATCGCTACCGTCAGTCGACTCAGGAATTCTATGTTTGAACATTGATATTTCTAATTCATTGTTGAACTGAATGTGACCATGTCCACTGGTTAATTATTTTATATTCGTCTTAGTGACTAGCACTGAAATCCAAGACGCGCGTTTCGTCCCACTTAGGACTCGATATCTGGATTCACCTAGACTCTAGTGACTGATATTGTTCCCACTGAGACTCGAACCCATAACTTTAAACGCCAAAGTGTTATCCATTGGGCCGCTGGGACACAAGAGTCACCTCTTGTGCAACGAATACTAGCTACTGTTTGAATGTTCGGCAGTATCCAGTTATCCGCATAGAGGAGCCCTGTCGACAGAATTTAAGCGATTCGACCCTGTATAGCGAGGAATGGGGTTCGAATCTTAGTGGGATCGACATCACCCACTGGGGTTTAGGTACATTCAGTTAACGAGTCACAAGTAAGACGAAACGCGCGTCCTGAATCCCACTAGTAGTCACCAAGATGAACGCAACAAATTAATATTCAGCTGTATCGAGGCATAGGAATCCATCTGGCAACATAGGTCGAGCATTTCGACCCTGCATATCAGTGGGAAACTTTAAGTATCAGACAGTGATTATTGTTTCGTTTCACCAAGGTTTACTATGTATGGAGATTCAATTCTAAATTATGCCATATGGATTAGATGATTTGATAAGATCAAAATAAAATTTCTTATAGTTTATTCTACAGTTGTTTATGTTTTCAGTAACTGAAAGAAATATCCGTGTTTCAAGTGAAGAGATAGAATTTACGTCAGGCATGTTAGTGTATTGGTTCAGAGTGAGAAACTTAAAAATTGTCCTATGGAGTGGGGAGTCTTTCAGAAGAAAAACTCCATTAATCTGAATAATAATGACAATAACAAAAGGAACTAGAAACATGGTTGGTAAAATTAGGTGAGGTATAGGTAGGCGTTGATTTGCGATACTCCTGAAGAACATTAGGAACATAAAAGGAGATATGGTAACTTTTGTAGCTATTCATCGTCAGTTAACAGTTAGGCATGGAGTTTACTGTTATGTTTTAGAAACTGCTATGCCGCTAACGATGCACGGATATCGACTTTCAGCCAGCAACATTCAACAAATTCCAAGTTGATTCCTCCTAACCTGACTAATTAATGGAAAAGACATGGTGGTCATATAGAAACGTGTATTGGGGTCGAAAGACCGAAAATAAAAATCAGGGAAAATACAGTTAATATATCTAGTGTCAACCTTTTACTCAGCGCCCAATATTTGCCATACTACACGATCAACTCTTGATCATAGTTTGTATAAATATGTACGCAGTTCGCTGGTCGCCGGTTGGAATCCGGCCGCGGTCCAGATTTTCACCTCACCTGCAATCATCATCCGGTATAAAATAATACTGTTGACTGGACAATCCACCGTCTATCTCTCTGTCTATCTCACTGTAAGTGTTATAACATGAAATATATTTTGATTGGCCCCTTTCTCCAGACTAGACTTATCTCAGTATCCATATGTCATTTACACTGTTGCTTCAAACTAAAAGCCAGTTAACTTTTTGATTCATTTTTTGCTGCTTGGATCTTCTTTTGCACCACTGCGTCAGTTTCCATGTTCACTTGATTGTTGATTTATTTATTTGTCCCTTGGCTTTCTAGTGGAAAATAGGGCTCCAGTAGCATGTCGCCACTTCACTCTCTTCCCTTTTGAACCTGGCTCCACCACTGCCCAGAAACTTTCACTTCTTCCTTAGACGGTCTCCTCCATGCCACCCTCACCTCAGACACCCAACTCGTCGTTTCCCCTTTGGATTCCACTGGACAGCCTGACGTGGCTTGTGATGTCCCCAAATGGTCTTGTCAGTGTATGCCCAATCCAATCCAATCCAATCCATCTCCACTTTCTTCTAGTACATATATGTTGGGTGATGGGTTCTTGGTTGGTTGGCTGGTTGGTTGGTTAGTTGGTTGGTTGGTTGGTTGGTTGGTTGGTTGGTTGGTTGGTTGGTTGGTTGGTTGGTTGGTTGGTTGGTTGGTTGGTTGGTTGGTTGGTTGGTTGGTTGGTTGGTTGGTTGGTTGGTTGGTTGGTTGGTTGGTTGGTTGGTTGGTTGGTTGGTTGACTGTCCAGAGTTTCTTGTTGCTTATTCTTATTATTGTGACCATCTGATCTTGAGTATTGAGTGAGTGTAGGTGTCAGCTGTTGATGATGTATGTGTGTGTAGTTTGTTGGGAATGCTTTTGGTGACACGCCAAGTCTCTCAACTGTAACATGGAAGCACTGAGTTAGTTGACTGACATTCGTTTTGAAAATCTGGATCTTGTTGATGCTTTCTGCTGAGTGGAGTGGATTAGATCTGCACACTGATTATTTCAGATTGATACAGTGAGGCCTGTGTTGGTGTCTTTCGGATTGTGGCTGACTTTGAATTCCTCATGTGTGCGTGTGTTGCTTGTAGTTGAGATGATGCTGCCTTGCCTAGGTAGGTGGAAAACACAACTTGCTTTAGATTTCTCCCATTGATGTTGATTGGTGCTTGTTGTTGTTGTTGGTGGTTGGTTGGTTGATTGGTTGGTTTGTTGTGTATCTTCATCACCTGTGTGTTGTGTGCATTCACTTGAAGTCGTGTTTTGGCTATCCTACCTCTTCTATCAACTTGTTGGTTTTTTGCTTGTAGATCTTTGAGTTTGTGCGACATTAAACATAGCTTGAAGTGTTTATCAAATATAGCCTGGAGGTTTCACTCCAGGTGAGCCATACTTTGCAGACACGAACACTTAAATACCTGTAGCCTTATCATTGTTTACATTCGATTGCCATCTCTTATAACTGTGAAGTGAGATAACTCAGTGTTGTGCACTTTCTATATCATCTTATTCGTAGATGGCATAACTTGACAAAAATAGAAAGTGCTAAACTCATCATAGTGTGTCGTTAAAGCTGTTTGAAAATGAACAGATTAGGTACAATCTATAAGGTAATTTACTGTGACTTCTTGTTTTTCTTGTCTGGCTTTTTCAAGCCAATAGTTTTCGCTAGTGTGATACCTCCAAACCCTATACTTTATGGCATTAGTCTCCTTGGTACCTCTATCAGGCTACAAAATATGACCGGTTCGAGGTTGCACCTAATTTACTGGTGTTTAAAGCGTTCGCGAAGGATAAAACCCTTATCAGCGTACACTTGAAAGGTTGAGTTTCGTTAAGTTCCCAGTTCTGAAATGCTCATCACGTGTAAGCTTTATTTGTATGTATACTACTGTGGGATTGTTACTGAGCCACAGCCTTATTTTTTCCTATATGGCGGGTGTTGCTCTTCAACATACCTCGGACCCTACATTTATTTGTTATCAGTACTCATCGGATAAATTTACACGTGTACTCATGTTGCCTCATCGATTGGGACGTAATTTCCTCAGCGCTGCAGTCGAAGATGCTACTGCTCATCTATTTGGAATACAGACGATAATAGAAGACATACCGGCCACTCATTAAAGAGTAATCATTGCTAATCACTTTCAGCTAGTTGTTCCAAGACATAGTACTTCATAACATCGTGTTATTTATCTTCATTACAGAATTACGACACGACTGTGTCACTACTCAAGACTAGGTCACTATTTGAGTGCCTAATAGTATAATTATGCTGCAATTATTTGCAACCTGTGAAACCTTGATATATATCTCATAATTCATTTATTAGCTAAGTGTGATCGAATGTCATCCAGTCATTTTAAGAGATGAGAAACTGAATATTTCGTTTCTGTTTTGTTTTCTATGGGTTCGGCCTTACATACATGTTTGTTTCAGGGATACTTTTCGAAATTGGTGAATTGTTCACAGTACGGATCATATTCCGATTTTTGTTATTATTTATCGCAACCTCAAGTATAACCGTACAGTTTATCAAGTTCGAACCTATGCCATTTCTTTGTGCCCAGCTATGTTGATAAGTTACTGAAGTTCAGATTGGTACCTTGTAGAGTTATGTCTCTTGATAGCAATTAAAGCGATATTACAATTCTCAGTTTCGATTAAATTCGCTTAGTCATTAGATTCAATATGTTATGAACACACATTAGAAAAGAATGTATATATTGAAGGAGTGACCATTTGTCACTTGAAGTGGCTATCGTGGCTCGGTGGCGTAGTGGATAACGCTCTGGCGTCTGAAGAGATCGCTCCCCAATCCGAATCCTGGTGGGAACAGCATCACTCGCTGGGAGACAGGTACATCCAGCTGGGTCCTAAGCAGGACGAAATGCGCATTCTGGATTCCACTGCTAGTCACTATCCATCATTACTATATATATAATTAGAACAAAGGTAATATCGAGGCATCCGCATAGGAGCCCATATGCCAATGGAGACCGATCAATTCGGTCCAATCAACGACGGTATAATACAAGCAATTATACTAATCTACATTTTTGTTTTAATTTTTATACAATATTAGGATACCGGTATAAGTGTTGGTGTACAAATTTGGGAGTTGGATCAGTTCTATCCTAAACGTGTTGAAGATGAAGTATTACAAGGTAATCTGTTCAATGGAGATTGTTATGTTGTATTACAAACTTCACTAAATCATAATCAAGTATTAGAATGGACTATATATTATTGGATTGGGTCTCGTTCAACAAAAGATAAACAAACGTGTGCAGCTATTCACGCTGTAAATTTACGTAATTTCCTTGGAGCTGAATGTCGAACTAATCGTGAAGAAGAAGGTGATGAGACTGCAGAATTTTTGGCTTTATTCGGCGGCAATCTGATTGTACTAGATGGTGCTCGTGGTGAAACCGGATTTATCCATGTTGAAGATGATGTTGTAGTTCCTAGATTCTACAGGTATTTGATACGAAATGGTTTTATTTTCCATTGTCCTACGACAATACAATATATAAGAATAGAAAAATTTAACTATATCAATTTCTCAGTTAGACAGATAGAATCAACATTGAACCTAGCACAGAATTACATCGATTTGTGACTTCCCACACTTGACAGTAGTACACAAAGAACAGGTAATTAGAAGAAGAGTGATATCAAAGTAGACAAAGTTGTGTGTGGGAATAAACAATTTAAGATAACGGTTATTACGAATATCCGAGCTTTAGAAGATGTCAAGGAGTGAATGCATTTGCATCATTGTGATCGATTTTCATCCATGTCACCAAGAGTCTTCAACTACTGATTCCTTTCATCTCTCAGACCCCAACCAACTAACCCGCACCCTCCACGCGGCTCAAACCAACAGTCAGAGACTTCATCGATTGATACCATGTCTTCGTCTGGCCACCCTGAACCCTCTCCCTACCTAACCCTACGTCCTCTAGGACGGCACGTTGAGGTAGGCGATGTCTTAGCTTGCGCAGTACATGTCAAACTATTTCAGTCGATGAAGGTTCACATTCTCATCGATGGTCTTGTGTGTTTTGTCTAGTAACTGACTTCAACATTGCTGACAATGTGATTCCACTAGACGTGAGTATTGCCAAGAAGACACATGTTATCAAACACTTGTAACCACTTCGTATCTTCTACTTTTAACGGTCTTCTCACAGCCGTATAAAAGGACACAACGGACTACAGGCCAGTGTATTCGTCTTTTGATAGATAGTCGTAATACCTTGCTGACGCCACAGGTGACGCCAGTTGGCAAATGACAGACGAGACTTCTGTATTCAACTTGAGATCTCTTCAGCAACCAGACTGTTCGAGCTAATGCAACTCCCCAAGTAAGTGAAATAGTCGACAAATCCCACCACTTCACTCCTTATCGTTAAACTGGAAGTAGTTTCAAACAAACATCCTCAGTTAAATGTAAATTAAAGTTTATTTTGTTGATTAGTCTGTTTTAATAATTGTAACATTTAATTATGAGCAACTAAAAATAGACACCTGAGACTATATAGAACTACTACTTGAACTTAAGGCAACAGTTGTATTATTTACTCTATATTCATTAGGTTGTATGTTTACCTAGTCTGCGGACGTACCAGTGCTTAATTATTTTACAACTCAGGTTATTATTACTACATTATTTGTCCCTTGGGTTTCTAGTGGAAAATAGGGCTCCAGTAGCATGTCGCCACTTCACTCTCTTCCCTTTTGAACCTGGCTCCACCACTGCCCAGAAACTTTCACTTCTTCCTTAGACGGTCTCCTCCATGTCACCCTCACCTCAGACACCCAACTCGTCGTTTCCCCTTTGGATTCCACTCGACGGCCTGACCTGGCGTGTGATGTCCCCAAATGGTCTTGTCAGTGTATGCCCAATCCAATCCAAAATCCATCTCCACTTTCTTCTAGTACATATATGTTGGGTGATGGGTTCTTGGTTGGTTGGCTGGTGGTTGGTGTGGTGGTTGGTTGGTTGGTTGGTGGTTGGTTGGTTGACTGTCCAGAGTTTCTTGTTGCTTATTCTTATTATTGTGACCATCTGATCTTGAGTATTGAGTGAGTGTAGGTGTCAGCTGTTGATGATGTGTGTGTGTAGTTTGTTGGGAATGCTTTTGGTGACACGCCAAGTCTCTCAACTGTAACATGGAAGCACTGAGTTAGTTGACTGACATTCGTTTTGAAAATCTGGATCTTGTTGATGCTTTCTGCTGAGTGGAGTGGATTGGATTAGATCTGCACACTGATTATTTCAGATTGATACAGTGAGGCCTGTGTTGGTGTCTTTCGGATTGTGGCTGACTTTGAATTCTCATGTGTGCATGTGTTGCCTGTAGTTGAGACGATGGTGTGTATGTAGGTTGGTGAGGGAGACAACTTGTTTTAGATTTCTCCCATTGATGTTGATTGATGCTTGTTGTTTTTGGTTGGTTGGTTGGTTTGTTTGTTGTGTATCTTCATCACCTGTGTGTTGTGTGCATTCAGTTGAAGTGGTGTTTTGGTTGTCCTACCTCTTCTATCAACTTGTTGGTTTTTTGCTTGTCGATCTTTGAGTTTATGCGACAAGACGTTAGACATGAATCATCATGGGTGAAATCCAAATGGTTTAAGGTCTTTTCATTGGTCAACCAGCATACGCCCCTCTTTTCACAGCTCCTCACGGTTTGTTGCGTGATGTAGTTGAGTCCAGTCGACCAGAATGGGGAAGATGATCGATGATAGTATGTGGCAGCCTTGTCTTATTTTGTCTTCACTTCATAGGTGTCACTGAGCTTTCGATTGTGAATCACTTGACTGGCATGTAGCATCATATAGCACATAGTTGTTGAATGAGGTGGATAAAGGTTTGTGACACTGAAACTTTTTAATGCTGTCAAAGGCCTTTTAACAGTCGATGAAGTTGCGATAGAGGTTGACTGCCACTCTGTGCTCTGTTCTACGATGATGCGTGGCGTAGCGTTACAGTTTGATCGACTCATGATTTGTTCTTACTGAAGACAACCAGACAGCTTATTCCGGTCGTAATTTTGAATGGAGAGCATCTTTTACTCTCTGCAGTATGATGCTCCTTAATATTTTACTTGGGGTGGACAGAAAGAGGAGCATGATTTATCCAGACTTCGGTCTCCCTTGTTTTGGAGTTCACCAAGATCGCCCTTCTTCCAATTGATCAGCAGGTACTTTCCCTTCCTTTCTTTCAAACCTTTTGCAGCAGTGGTGTGAGGATGTCCGCTGCTGATGTATCTGCATCTTTTCTCAGTGCTTCAAGAGGAATTCCATCTGGTCATGTTGCTTTCTCGGCTCTCAGCAGCTTTATGGCTTTCAGGACTTCACTTCAGCTATTGTCGGAGGGCTTGTGTTCACTGATAGTTCTGTGGCTGAGCTGCATTTGGGATTTTATGGACTAGTTGTACTTGGTGGTAGTGGTGCTGGTTGATTGAAGAGTTTTTTGAAGTTGTTAGCCGATCGTTTCCTTTGTTTCTCCTGTTTGGCGGTAACTAGTTTTCCTTCACTATCCTTCATTGGTTTGATGTGTACTGTGTTGATCTCGTCACTCGCACATAGTAACCTGGTTATTTGATATGATGTTGTCAGGTGTCTGTCTCTCTTACCCGTAGCTTGTTCTTCTTGACTTTTCAGTGTTTCGTAGAAGTAAGTGTCTTTTGTTTTTCCATGCACTCTTCTTCACTTCTTTGTCCATTGTAGTGTTTTGTAGTTTGTGTTCTCAGTTCCTCTTTTCGTTGTTGATCCTTGCACTGCACTGTTTCATCTTGTGCTTCACGATTTTCCTGTGCCTGCTGTATCAGCTTTGATGTGTCAGTGTAGATGCATTCATTGTCTTGTTTGTTCTTCCTTGCTAACACGGTTATGTAGGTTTGCTTCCACATGGCTGTCGAAGAGTTCGAGTGTTGTAGTACGCAGGTTTGTTCAGGAATGTTGCTTAATTTCTCCGATTTTGTGCTGACGATTGACTGATGTGAAGATGTGCTTTGTAGCTTTGTCCTTCAGTTTAGTTTCTGTGTTGGTGTTGAAGTTGAAGTTGAGCTGTGGTTGTCTATCACCAGCTTTATTGAATTGAAGGCTTTGAACTTGATTTGAAGATGGCTTTCTGAAGGCTTTCACCAACTGGCATTATTTCGTCTCTCTGATTGCAGTGAGGAATAAGTTTATTTTTATTTTTTGAATTTTCTTTGTGCTTTGAAGTTTTTTATCGATTGGATTCATTTTACAGGGTAGGTTTGCTAGCGTTCGCTCAGTCTTCCCTCTGTATTCGGGCTTAGGACCGGCTAGTAACTAGGGAACTTGTTACCTACGTGAGGTTAACTCTGGTTATACGTCGGTGAAAATCGTACTTGTTACCTTGCCTTTTTAATTTTGTGAGAATACTAGCTTACTTTACGATTGACGTACCTGGAAATAGGTTTTCCGATAGTTGGTTACAGGAATTGCTCTGGCTGTATATTGTAGAATATTTTGTGCAGATAGTGGACATATATTTTAAGTTGGGTAGGTGTGTTGTAACACTCACCTCTTCCACCCTCAACACCACCACCTAACCACTTTATATATGCATTGTGTTTTGAACCGATTTGATGCTATAGCCAAAACTTTTTTATCTGTATGTTTTGCATGAAATAAATCACTTCTCGTCTGAAGTAAACACCTCTAACTTGGATTTCTCATTCCATAGGTTATTTGGTACAGAGAAACGATTAAAAATTGTTTCAATGCCATTAACTCATCTCAGTTTGGATTCTAAATTCAGTTACCTACTTGATGCTCAGTCTCATCTTTACTTATGGATTGGTAAAAATTCTCGTTCAATAATACAAACTAAAGGACGATTGTTAGCTGAAAAAATATCAGTTCGTGAACGTCGTGGTGAGGCATCAATTCATATAGAGCCAGAAAGTCGTGAATCCAATGCATTTTGGGCAATTCTTACTGGTGTCTGGGTACCTGCTCCACTACCGAAACCAAGTACTAGTTCAGATCAAAAAGATCAAGCAGTAAAATTCACAAATAATCAAGAAGAAATTAGAGAAATCACTTATTCACCTGCTCCTGTCATCCAACCACCAGAGACAGGATTACGTGATTTTATTCCTACTGATTGGCAACTACCTCAACCAATTTTATATGATGTTCAAATGGGAAGGGGCTACTTAGAGTTACCTCAAGTAAACTGTCATCTATATTACTAACTGTTTATAAATGTTAAAAATTTCTATTGTCAAAATTAGAAGAAGACATATAAGCGGGCAATATTGTTTTCAATTAGCTGTCATCAGGCTCTATGCTAATATGCATAAATTTACTTATATATAAAACATTAAACTAATCATGGTGGATTCTTTAGTCTGTGGTAACTAGAACATGTAGCATGCAAATAGTAGATATCTAGACAATGATAACATTAATTTACCGAATGATGATTGAAGGTGAAAAGAAAATTCGGACCGCGACCGGATTCGAACCAGCGATCACCTGGTTTCCGACCTTATTCTCTACTAAATGAGCTACGAGGTACTAGCAATAATAATAATTATTACCATCTCGTTAGTGATAAGAATACTGAGAACAGCAAAGTACTACAAACATTTAGCGAAACAATGCTGATCAAAACGTAGAAAAATAAAAGTTACTTACTACTAAAGGATGGAATATTTTGTAGATAATAAAGTCTAATCAAATAAATAATCCCACTTTTATCATATACTTGGACCTCGTAGCTCAGCTGGTAGAGCATTGGCTCAGGAACCCGGTGATCGCTGGTTCGAATCCGGCCACGGTCCAAATTTCCATCTTGCCTTCAATCATCACCCAGTATAAGTAAACGTGTGTGAAAGGGGTGAAAAAAGGGGAAAAGAATGGAAATTAAATGTATCTTTGAAGTTATTTATTAGGTTTTCTCTGGCTATTGCAGAGATAAAGGCTATACAAACTTTTTTCTACACATTAAAGACTAGGTTTGTTTTCTTTAATCCCAATAGCTGTAGGTATGTGTAAAATGCGAGTGTGAATTATATTCGAAAGATTTTGTGGAATGCGATAATGATTTTGAATGCTTTGTCTTGTCTATTACATGACTACGTCGACCAAATGTGACAGAATTGAACTTCTTATTGACTTCACTTGTCCTTTTCGTAGCCATGACAGTAGGTGCTCAGGAACATGTTTGTTAAGCTGATACTTGTACACCCAAAATAGCTTTCTCCGCAAGAGCAGCTGAATTGATAAATGCACATCAAAGTGACAGAACTGGGCAGCTTGTCTTTTGTCTGATCAATAACTATCAGCCGACTAGAAAATGATAAGCAGAGGTTATCAGCATAAAAGGTTCTTCTAATAGCTGTAGATAGCCTATAGAATAGAACTTCACCAGGTACGTCCCCTTTAGATTGGAACTTCATAGATATTGATTTTTTTGAGAAATCTTTGATCAGATTTCCTACTCATTTTATTCATGTGTCTCTTGATAAAAAACTATGGGGTATTCCATTTCTAGCAACATATTACGAAAGTGTTCTAACTTCTTTTGTATCAAGACATCGATCAGATCCTACTGCTTTTGTTTGCTAGACATTATTGGACTTTTTTTATATAGAATGAACACAAAGTTAAGGAAATGTATGTACTGACCCGTAGATGTTATCTTTCTGTACACTCTTCTACTGATTGACCCATCTTCTCTTCTACTCAATAGGACATGTAAATAATGTAGCATATTTTCTTTTCCTTCTTCACAAATGAAAATGAGAGAAAGATGCACGCATTGAATTTTCTTAACAGTTCGTTTTTGTGGATGTTTTGATAAAAAGACGGTGGAAATCTCGTCAATATAAATTTTATACATATGCAGATCAGCGATGACATCTTTCAGTGGACAATCCTCAAGTTTAGCAAGAAAAAATCCAGCTAATATCGTGCCTAATGGTGAACCCATGGCAATTCCATCAATTCCATATGTGTCATTGAAACGAAAATGTACATTTATGGTCCATCATAGAAGTAATTGGTTGAGAATATCTTCTAGAAGTCCAATATTAATCTGTGTTTCTGAAATCTGCTGACAAATGAATTCTACTGTTTCTAAAAGTGGTACATTGGTGAAGTAATAATGCCCTGATTTGAACTCTTGGCTTGCTGATGGTTGTCATAATTTTCAAAACCTTTTACAACCAACTTATGTTTGATGACTTTAACGTACAAGCGTTTTAAGGGATTTCTGATTTCTATTCATTCATAACCTCAGATTTCTCAAATCTTATCCCCTTATTGCAGCCATCGTAAAGAACACTTCATTATGTTTTGTTTAGGTGGAACTCGAAAACGGTGTTTTATCGAAACGTTTATTAGATTCAAAACATGTATATATCTTGGATAGTGGAGGTCAGTTATTTTTATGGATGGGTGAGAAATCCTCGAAATTCCTTCGATTTGCTGGTTATAAACTAGCATTACAACTGATGGGTTTAATGCCTAGAAATCGTTTAGGTGGACTGGAATTATTATTTACTGAAGCAAATGCATCTGAAGCTTGTCGAGCATTATTGAGTGATGATCAAGTTGAGTGGTGGAATGATTTTACAGATTCATTGTTGCAACCATGTACTCAAGGAGCTGAAACTCAAGTAAGTGAATACTTTGTTTAGTTGTCTTTGTCAGTAAAATTGATTTCTTGTAAGCATGACAACAAAATGCGGTTTTTTTTTTACTATTACCATCAAACTTCACTTCGTGTTGTAGAATTAGTGAACGATTGTTCCCTGGGTTCTACGTCTGTCCTATTGGAGTACATTCTAGGTTTGGAATGGTCACAATTGTCTTCCTGGTTCTGAAAAACCTGAAAAAATACAGACAGTCGGTTGTTTATTAATCTGGTTTCAAGGTAGTATTACTGCTCTTGACGTGTAGATAACGGAAAGCTTTTCGAGTACATCCCATTGGTACAACAAGACTCTAGATGTGCATCTATCGTCCTTTTGAAAGTATCAGTGGATGAGGCTGTAACATCCGCTGAAGGAAGGGCGTTCCACAGTTTACAAACCAACTGCAAACGAGTTAGCACGGATCTTTGCACGTTCTCTCTCATGCTTTCCTCTTAACGGGTGGCCCTAGGATGGAGTTTCTGATTAAAGCTTTGAAGGGATCTGTTCGAATGAAGGAGATTATGGCCAATGGGGTACATGATGATTATATCCCCTCTGATCCTCTGGTATCGTACTGGATGTAGCTTAAGAGCGACTAAGCGGTCTAGGTAAGGTTTGTACCGTAACCCAATCACTTTCTTTGTAGCTCTTCTCTGAACCCGTACTCGGATGGCCATGTCCTTCAAGTATGGGGATATCACGAGCGAATTTTTCTCAAGATGAGAACGAGTATATAGTCCATACAGTGTGGTGAAAAGAGGAGTTAGACTCATCAAAGTTCGTGAAAGGAACCTCAAGACTCCATAGGCTTTGTTGACTGCAAGGTGATAGTGGACCGAAGCTCCTAGTGTGTAACTTAATGTAACTCTCAGATCTCGTTCCATGTTAGAGTGACAGATATTTCACCCAGAGAGTAAGCACTGGGACTGTTTTTATATTTATCAACAGTCATTATCCTTTGCTTCTTTGAGCTGAGAGGGAGCAAGTCTTCTGTAGTCTAATTTAGGATTTTCATGGGGTCCTCCTGGTGGACCGAAATATCTGTTGGCATCTGTATTTCGCTCCAAATCTTCAGACCATCGACATATAATAATGAATGAGAATTGCGAGATCCTGGTGGGTCATTGATGAAAGCAAGAAACAGTAGTGAACCCAGATAGTATCTATCAAAGATTCTTGGTGTTTTTGTTGAAGATGCGCTACCGATGTTCAATACTTCATAGTTAACCTTTATAAAGGTAATATTCTTATGAATAACCTCGAGAAAGAACTGAATTTTAGCGATTTTATTCTACGAAAGAATGCGAAAGTTACTCTACAATAAAACGGCTCTTTAAAGTAAATTGTTTTGAAGAATTCCATTTTTGCCCCCAAGAAACCGAATCTCTGAGTGTTTGTTTCGTTAGCTGTGGACACGTGACTTCAGTGACACTGATACACAGTCAGCAGTACAACAAAACTATCAGATCTCTTCGACGTACTACTGCTTATATTAAAACAATAACTGTACTGGCCTTAAACTTCATAATTAGCGTTTGAAATCATATTACAATCTCAGAAAACAGGTATTCCAACTAATAGGTTATATCAAAGCGATAGACCTTACTAAAATGTCGGGGTAACTATTATCGTCTATGGTAGATATCAATAATCAGCGATACTTGTAAGGGTCAGTATGTTTGAGAGTAAAAATTCTCATTTGTACAGTCTTCAAAATGCTCTTTAATTGCAAATTCTATACTTGCATCTATCAATTCACCTGCTCTTGTGGAGCAAGGTACATCGGTAGTAGCCAGAGAATGCTTTTACAGGTATACGAGAACATATTCCAGCTTGGTGAAAGAAAGTCTGTTAGAAGTTATATTCTAGAACATTTGGTCGATTTCCATCACAGTAACAAACCCAGACAAACACTTTGAAATTATTTATCAAATTCGCCCAAACCTTCCACCTTCTAAGAACCATTTCACACATTACGTAATCTACTTTATTTTCATCCATACCTTCACCTGTTATCATATTCACAGATACCTATGTCGTCATCATCACATGGTGTTAAGTTTTCTTCAAATATTATATCTATACGTATATGAAGCATGGAAATAAATCCGTTGAAAAGTCTCTTCGCTGAATATCTTGTTCTCGACCTTACAACGGGAATTATTAAATTATTACAAATTCTATGTTACGCACGAAGCCAATTTCTTTCCTGATTATGACAAATGATAATAATCTAATGTAAGATAAAACCTTGTGCACAGTGGTATAATGTTATTTCATTTTAATTGATTTATCAGATTTATCACACAGTGAAGGGACAGTATTGTTTACTACTGGATTACATTTCGGACACAATTTATTGTCTACAATCGTCATATCAAGATAAGTGCACAACTTTGAGATATCCTTTGCATAGTCCTAATTCCCTCACCTCCTTTGTGATATGAGTAGTCGGATTTTCCATGTATCCAGAACATGTGCTGAGAGTCATTCCCCTTGTCTATATTAGGTGTTGATTCGATAAACAAAGATTCAGTTGTCAATCTCTCCATCCACTCTGCTATGTTAGTCTGGTGGATTGTCACCCTGTTTCATCCTATTGTGTGGTTGTGTGTAATCACATACATAGTTATGACTGAGCTTATTCTAAATTCCTTACCTTAAGAAGATCTATTAATTTTGACCTAGCTAGGTTTTTGTGCTCAGATAACCTAACTGATCCCGGTCGACTACTTTGACCTATATTTATGACTTCACGATCCTTGCAAGGAATTCAGTAAACCAAGTTATTCTGCTTAATTTGATTGATAGGATTTTCTAACCTACAAAACTTATTCGTGAGCAGGTTTGTAGTTTTAAGTGCCACTCTAATCACAACCAGCCTTATTGAGAATCCTATGTAGTGTTTTTGAGGTGCCTCCTTTTTATGGTAATACTGTAGAGGTTCTGAATTCTCTCTTCAAAGTATTGCAACTACTATTATTAACATTGTTACTACTACTATTGCCACCCGTTACTAATATTAGTCATATTCTCCTTTCGATTCCTACAGAACTTATCAATTGTTTTGAGAGGGTGATTGTTGGTGAGAAAGGTGTCTTTAAGGTATCCGATTTCTTGTCTTACATCTTCTGTTTTACTAGTAATTTTTTTAGCCGTGTTACTTCGACAGTACCAAGCCAACTTTAACTGACATAGGGTGAGATAATTCGAAGTTTGAGTAACGATTTGACTGTCTCCTGTAGACACTAGTGTCTAAACTCCCATTTTGTTCCCGTCTTATTCTGCAATTCAGTATCGCTAATTCCCTTTTGCCATTTCAGAAAAAAAACCTCGCCTGGTTAACTAGTTTACTAGTTACTAGCCGGTCCTAAGCCCGGGTAAAGAGGGAAGGTTGGGCATAGGGCTAGCAACCCTACCCCGTAAAACAAATCTAACCGCTAAAGAAACTTCAAAGCACAAACAAAATATAAAAAATGAAAACAAACTTATTCCCCGCTGGAATCGGAGAGGCGAAATGACGCCAGTTGGTGAAAGCCTTCGGGAAGCCAATTGGCCGATGTGTCTTCTCTCGATGAAAGCGAAAGTAAACGTGGGGACATGGAATGTCCGCACGATGTTTGAACCCAGTAAGGCAGCCCAGATTGCAAAGGAGATGAGAAGGTATAACATCGAAGTGCTTGGGATTTGCGAAAGCAGATGGAATGGGAGTGGACTCTCCAAACTGTCAACGGGAGAATCAATAATCTACTCCGGTCACCCAGACGCCAACCACGAGCACACTGAGGGAGTGGCTATCATGATGTCCTCAAGAGCATCGAAGGCTCTCATGCAGTGGGAACCAATCTCCTCCAGGATCATGTCAGCAAGATTCAACTCAAAAGGAAGAAAGGTCACAATCATACAATGTTATGCACCTACAAATAATGCAGAGCAAGAGAAAAAGGAGGAATTCTACAGACAACTTCAGTCAACACTGGACAAGACGTCAGTTGGCGATATCAAAATTCTAATGGGCGACATGAATGCCAAACTGGGAGGGGACAACACGGGAAGAGAACTAACCATGGGTCGAGAGGCGCTAGGTGAAATGAATGAGAATGGAGAATTGTTTGCAGAATTCTGTGCATTCAACGATTTGGTGATTGGAGGCAGTGTGTTCAGGCACAAGGATATCCACAAAGCGACATGGATTTCACCAGATGGACACACTAAAAACCAAATCGACTTTATCTCAATCTCAAGAAAATGGAGACGCAGTCTACTTAACACAAGGTCAAGAAGAGGAGCAGATGTAGGTTCAGACCACTATCTAGTGCAAGGAACCTTCGAAATCAAGTTAAAAGCCTTCAAGGAAGCTGGTGATAGACCTCAATTCAAGTACAACACTCGGAAACTGAAGGATGAAACTACAAAGGAGATCTTCAAAGCAGCCATCAAGACAAAATGGGAGACGTCGAGGGACATCCCTGAAGAAACCTGTGTAGAAGAACACTGGAAGTCTTTGAAAGCTATGTGGAAAGAAACCTGCACAACAGTATTAGGAAGGAAGAAGAAAGAAGACAAGGAATGGATCTCGACGGATACCTGGAAGCTGATAGAGGAGAGGAGGATGGTGAAGCAGAAGATAAACCAGTGCAAGGATGCTCAACGACAAGAGGAACTGAGCACAATGTATAAAACACTGGATAAAGAAGTGAAGAAGAGTGCACGCAAAGACAAACGACACTTCTACGACACACTGGCAAGTGAAGCAGAACAGGCTGCAGGTAAGAGAGACCTGACGACATTGTATCAAATAACCAGGTTGCTATCAGGGAAGAGACCAACACAGATGAAACCAATAAAAGATGAAGAAGGAAATTTAATTACAAAAGAAGAGAAACAGAGGAAACGATGGGCCGACCACTTCAAGAAGCTCTTGAATCGACCACCACCTGCACTTCGTCCAGAAATACCACCTGCAGCCGCTGAATTACAAGTGAACATAAATCCCCCAACGAAAATGGAAGTCCTGAACGCCATAAAGCTACTGAAATGCGGGAAAGCAGCAGGACCAGATGGAATACCGCCAGAAGCACTGAGAACAGATGCAGAGACAACAGCGGACATGCTCACACCACTATTGCAGAAGGTGTGGAGGGAAGAGAAGGTACCTGACGATTGGAAGAAGGGTTACCTTGTCAAACTGCCGAAGAAGGGAGACCTCAGTGCTTGCAAGAACTGGCGAGGAATCACTCTCCTATCCACCCCAAGTAAAATATTAAGCCGCATCATCCTGGAGAGGCTTAAAGACGCACTGGATTCAAAACTGCGACCGGAACAGGCAGGCTTCAGGAAGTACAAATCATGTGCTGACCAAATTGCAACGCTTCGTATCATCATAGAACAGAGCGTAGAATGGCAATCAGCTCTATACCTCAACTTCATCGACTTTGAGAAGGCCTTTGACAGCGTCGACCGAGAAGTAATTTGGAAACTGCTTCAATACTACGGAGTACCGCAAACCTTTATCCGCCTCATTCAACAACTATATGAAGATGCCACATGCCAAGTAATCCACAATGGGAAGCTCAGTGATGCCTTTGAAGTGAAGACAGGAGTGAAACAAGGTTGCCTACTATCCCCCATGATATTCCTAATTGTGGTGGACTGGATCATGCAGCAAACAGTAGGCAGCGAGAAGAGGGGGATACACTGGACGACGGAAAAGAACCTAGAAGACTTGGATTTCGCCGATGACTTATGCCTAATGTCACATAAACTTGAAGATCTGCAGGCAAAAACTAACAAGTTGACAGAGGAGGCAGCTAAGACGGGACTTCAGGTGAATATAGAGAAGACAGAAGTGATGAAGATACCGCACCACCACCATCAACAACAACAACAAACTCCAATCACCGTCAACGGTAGAAACTTGAAGGAAGTAACCTCCTTCACTTATCTAGGAAGCACTGTTTCAACTACAGGCGGGACGGACGAGGACGTCAAAGTCAGAATCGGAAAAGCAAGACAGGCATTCATTAGCCTGAAACCAGTGTGGAGATCTTCTGCACTCAGCATGCGGAACAAGATACGGATTTTCAACACCAACGTCAAGTCAGTGCTCTTGTATGGCTCAGAGACTTGGCGCGTCACGAAAGGCATTTCCAATAAACTACAGACATTCATCAACAACTGCTTACGCTCGCTGCTGAAGATCAGATGGCCAGAAAAAATAAGCAACAAGGAACTCTGGGAACGAACCAACCAAGAACCTATCACGCAACAAATATGCAGGAAGAAGTGGAGATGGATTGGGCATACACTGAGAAGGCCGACTGAGGACATCACGCGTCAGGCCCTCGAGTGGAATCCCCATGGGAAGCGACGAGTTGGACGTCCGAGGGTGACATGGAGGAGGTCGTGCGAGGAGGAAATGAGAGCTTCTGGGCTGTCGTGGAACCAGGTTCAAAAGATCTCAGAGAACAGAGGTCACTGGAGGCGTGCTACTGAAGCCCTATGTTCCACTAGGAACCCAAGGGACTAATAATAATAATAATAATTTCAGAAAAAGCCAAGCTATAGCTATGGTATGTGATTACACACAACCACACAATAGGATGAAACAGAGTGACAATCCACCAGACTAACATAGCAGAGTGGATGGAGAGATTGACAACTGAATCTTTGTTTATCGAATCAACACCTAATATAGACAAGGGGAATGACTCTCAGCACATGTTCCGGATACATGGAAAATCCGACTACTCATATCACAAAGGAGGTGAGGGAATTAGGACTATGCAAAGGATATCTCAAAGTTGTGCACTTATCTTGATATGACGATTGTAGACAATAAATTGTGTCCGAAATGTAATCCAGTAGTAAACAATACTGTCCCTTCACTGTGTGATAAATCTAATAAATCAATAAAAATGGAGTAATCTAATGTCTCAAATACTGAAATCTAAGGTGATTTAAAATTTTCTAAATAATCGATGATTTCACACTTTATTTCATTGATTGAATTTCTATCTTGTTTAAGATTTTCAAGTGCCAATTTTGTGATTGGGATGAGGCTTTAGCTGTGGACTTCACTCGAACAGCTGACTCTGTAGCTCGTCGTGGAGTGGATATCAATGAAATTCTGGAAAAGGATAAACTTACAACTGATCTACGTGCATTGTTAGCACCCAGAGAAATACCACTTACTAATGAAGAAGCTTTACAAATGATTGTTGAGTGGAATGATGAATTAGTTGAACCACCAGAAGAATCTGTTGTAAAGTCAAGCAGTGCTCTACAACAATTTATTATGGTTGATGGCAAATGGGTACCTGTTGAAAATCGTTGGTTTGGACAATTTTTCAATCGAGATTCGTATATTCTAATTGCACGTTATTGGGTAAGAATTTTTTCTGAGTGAGGTCGTATACAAAAGTAGTTTTATTGTTGCTTACATCTTTTTCCTCGCATGTATGTTATTTTCCTTCATTTTTGTTTCTGACTTGTCACTCTATTTTCTTACTGTTTATTATTTGTCACTTGGGTTCCTAGTGGAAAATAGGGCTCCAGTAGCATGTCGCCACTTCACTCTCTTCCCTTTTGAACCTGGCTCCACCACTGCCCAGAAACTTTCACTACTTCCTTATACGGTCTCCTCCATGTCACCCTCACCTCAGACACCCAACTCGTCGTTTCCCCTTTGGATTCCACTCGACGGCCTGACCTGGCGTATGATGTCCCCAAATTGTTTCTTCAGTGTTTGCCCAATCCAATCCAATCCATCTCCACTTTCTTCTAGTGCATATTTGTTGGGTGATGGGTGATGGGTTCTTGGTTGGTTGGTTGGTTGGTTAGTTGGTTGACTGTCCAGAGTTGCTTGTTGCTTATTCTTATTATTGTGACCATCTGATCTTGAGTATTGAGTGAGTGTAGGTGTCAGCTGTTGATGATGTATGTGTGTGTAGTTTGTTGGGAATGCTTTTGGTGACACGCCAAGTCTCTCAACTGTAACATGGAAGCACTGAGTTAGTTGACTGACATTCGTTTTGAAAATCTGGATCTTGTTGATGCTTTCTGCTGAGTGGAGTGGATTGGATTAGATCTGCACACTGATTATTTCAGATTGATACAGTGAGGCCTGTGTTGGTGTCTTTCGGATTGTGGCTGACTTTGAAGTCCTCATGTGTGCGTGTGTTGCTTGTAGTTGAGACGATGGTGTGTATGTAGGTTGGTGAGGGAGACAACTTGTTTTAGACTTCTCCCATTGATGTTGATTGGTGCTTGTTGTTGATTGGTTGGTTTGTTGTGTATCTTCATCGCCTGTGTGTTGTGTGCATTCAGTTGAAGTGGTGTTTTGGCTGTCCTACCTCTTCTATCAACTTGTTGGTTTTTTGCTTGTAGATCTTTGAGTTTATGCGACAAGACATTAGATATGAATCATCATGGGTGAAATCGAAATCTTCTGGTGTCTTTTTGTCTGTACGTTTAATACTACCGAAATGCTAATTATTGCTTTACTACTGGTCTGCGTTCATATCTCGTTTAATAACGAGGAATGATATGGTTGAGCCCATTGATGACCTCATTTATCGTGGAAGTCAGATCAACTGTGATGTGTCTGTTACCAACAAGATCGCGGCATATAGAGTTATGGTTCAGTTGGTCTTTGTCAACTTACTCCATTCATAGTACCGGCATGTCATTCGATTATTGATGTAGGACCGAGTTAACTGCACACTCTGTCTCACTCTATAACTCAAGCGTAACCATTGGAGGTAGAGGATATGAGAAGGGCTTCAGGTATTGGTCCATCATTGGATTCGTACCACTGATCATGTGTTGTGAAACCATCGTATCAATAATATGAAAGACATGTAGAGTTTTAGGTCAGAGAGGTAAGTTCATCGTTAAGGTTGTGAACCTCCATCGATTCAGAGAGTCGTGATGTTTTATACGGATTACAATTCACTGCACAATGTTACCTGAAGTAGACGCAGGCTGATGAAATGTTAGAGGTGGTTAAACTAAAACATGACACCAGTCCAGTCATTTAAGTCTTTGACTGTTGATCTAACCCGTGTAGTAGAGTGTAAACTTCCAAATTGGGGTCCACATGACAACGGAAACCAGTGTTAAAGACAGCAAATGATATGGCTCGGAATCGATGTCAGTGGCACACATGCACATTTACACATTGTCTTGATCTTGATAGTCATTTCACTATTTTTTCTCTTGCCATCTGTAACTACTTTTGATTACTTCCATCATTTCTCTGTCGTTCTTCTTGATGTCTTCTGCTTTGGTGTGCTCACATGAGGCTGGCGAGATTGAAATATTATCGCCAGATTCCTTGTTGGTATTAACTAACTTATGGAAGAATATGACTGATTAGATTCAATTTAGAGGTTTGTGGGAGATTTATAGAGTTCAGGCTGGTACCCATCATAGACTAACATTAGTTGTAGGAACATTGAAGTGGGGTTATGGATGCGCACTGCTGAGCAATCCCGTACTGGGACGAAACAGCTGTCCAGTGCTCCCAGATTCCCAATATTCCTCCAACTAATATCAGTCCATGATGAATACCAACCTGAAATCATAGTAAATTGCAAGTGCTCAAGTTATTGGTTTGTAGAATAGAACCCAATATATTTCAGTTATGCAACTATTGCTCTTATCACTGAAAATACTCAGGATCAAATAGCGCACAAAATGTAACTTTATAAATATGGCTACTAAGTGGTATTGTTGAACTACTGTCTTGCTAAAACGTCTTCAGTGGATTCATCAAACTGCGATTGCTTATATTTTCTTTTTCTCTAACAATATTGAGGAATTCTAATAATGATGGATAGTGGCTAGCAGTGGAATCCAGGATGTTCGGTCCGTCCTACTTCGGACTCGTCAGGTAGATATACCTGCCTCGCAGTGGGTGATATTGTTCCTACCAAGATTCTAACTCGGGATCGATCGCTTCAAACTCCAGAGCGTTACCCACTACACCGTCGAGGCACGATAATCACTTCTTGTACAGCGAGTGTATTTTTCGTATATTATAAGATCGTTGGTTGGACCGAATTGATCGGTCTCTACTGGCATATGGGTCCCCGTGCGGATGCCTCCATATTTCCTGTTTTAATTCTAGTAATGATGGATAGTGGCTATCAGCGGGATCCGGGATGCGCATTTCATCGTATTTGGGACTCGTCAGCTGGATGTGCCTGCCTGTCTATCGTGGCTTAGTGGTGTAATGGATAACTGCCTGGCGTTTGAAGCGATCGCTCCCGGGTTCCAATCCCGGTGGGAACAACATCACTCACTGGGACTCAGGTACATCTAGCTGACGAGTCCCAAATAGGACGAGACGCGCATCCTGGATTCCACTGCTAGCCACTATCCATCATTACTAAAGGTAAAACACAGATAATACCAAGGCATTCTCAATGGTGCCCATATGCCAATAGTTTCCGATCAATTCTGTCCAATCAACGACGGTATGCTACAAACAATAATACTAATATTGAGGAATGTCACTTAGAAAATCCCGTCAAGTTGATGTCTGAATCCCACTACTCAAAGGTAATGAATCTACAACTCAGAATGATCGTAAGCAGCTATTCGAAGTACTTTATTTTAAATTATTCTCAATTGTAATCACTTTCATTTAGAAATATAAAAATCTTCTAAGATAGTTGTATTGGTCGAAGTTCGTTTTTTGTTTAGTCGATAGTTTTCTCTGTCACCACCACTTTCTGTAAATGTGTTAAACTCAACTGTTTCTTTAAGATGCTTTGTTATGATAGGCTCCTGATTATTTATTGTTTATTGACAAACGAGTATTTGTTGACACAAAACTTATCATTCTGTTAACATCATTCCATTTTGATTGTTCTCTCTCTCTCTCTCCCTCTCTCTCTCTCTCTCAGGACTATGATGATGAAAACAAAGATTATTCTGAAAATGAAAATCAAGATGATGGTGATGATGAAGATTCCAGTCTGACAAAAACTGTTGTCTACTTTTGGCAAGGTCGTGAAGCATCTGATTTAAATTGGCTTCAATTTGAATTCTCAGTACGTAAAGATATGGAGGCTCGTTTATCACAGAATCCTGAAGATGCTAGTCGTCCATTAAAAGTAGTATTTAAGCGTGTAAGACAACAACAAGAGGATACTATGTTCTTAGCTCATTTTCAGCGTCAAATGATAATTCATTCTGGTCATTATCGTGATCGTGCAGATTCATCACGGTTAGAACGAATTCAAATGTATTATCTTAGAGCAAATGGTAATCTGATATCAACTCGGTGTATAGAAGTAAGTGAATCCATTCAGTTAAGATTCCTATTACTTCATCATAAATACATGAATGTTCCTCGAATTTTTCTTTATTATTTTTTTGTTTGGAATGTGAAGATTTTGTTGTGTTGGTGTGATGTCCAGTGATTCTTTAGTTCAAGACTTCTGTGGATGGTTTGAGGTTATCAGTGACTATGCAGCCTATATTTATGCGAAAAGTAGCACTATTTTATTACTTTCTTTGTTTATCTCAAGAATCTTTATACTGAAAATTATTGATTTTTTAGTGCTGTTTATCTATGTACTGCTAAATGTTCAAGTGGTAAGTCAACAAATGAATGAAATGAGGAATGTCGTAGAATTTCGCTAGTTAGTATTGACTGTTGATGTTTTAATTGGGATTTAAAGTTTCTGCGAAAAATTAAAGAGGACGAAACAAACTGTTCAATACTCCAAAGTTTCCAATGTTTTTCCAACTAATGTCAGTACACGATGAATACAAATCTGAAATCAATCAATAAATCTTCACAAACCTCAAAATTGAAATTATTATTATTATTGTTGTTAGTAAGTATTACCTTCAGGAGTTTCAAATCGATGAAAGTATATAACTTCTGTCTTGTATTCTAAACCCTAAGTACAATGTCATTCCTTCATTCATTCTTGAACTACATAACTGTAGAAATTAAGTATTAATGCGGCTTTCAAACCAGTAACCGCATTTCTTCCTTACACAGTTGTTTTCTCCTGGTGTTATAAATTGAAAATTAAAAGAATATCACATGAAACTACACTGGTAGTCATTCCATCAGTAATTTCATAAACAAAATTAGAGAAGGAACAGTTACTTGAAGGTTGATAAGATCCTCATGATTTAGCTAAAGAAGCTCAATACACTTCTGAGATGAGTTACTATGCTTATTCAACCAGTGATTCTTAACATATTGATTAGTTCAATGAGAAGGCCTTAAATGAAGCTACAACACAGCCAAAATCCACATCCGTGAAATTCATGATTTGCCTGTGGTTTATTGGTTTATGCAAGTTGACTTACAAATAGTTGGTCGTAATTTTGAACTCCGTTCCACGTAACGAGGTTTGGTCAATCAGGTAATAGGCGCACCTCATTCCCTACTACACTAATGTGCACAAAGATACTGAGATGATTTCAACTCTATTCTAGTATGTTTCATATAACATGGGAGTACAGTTAACTTTCTTTCAATCTTATCTTACCTCCAGTCAACATATTGAAGTAAAACAGTGCTTTGACATATGCAATACTTACTCTGATCACCTCATTCATCTATCCTCACAACTTTAATAGCTAACTTACTGTTCTTGTTTATCATTAATTGTATTATTATTTCTTTCTCTTGGGTTCCTAGTGAAGCATATGGCTTCACTAGCACGCCTCCATTGCACTCTCTTCTCTTTTGAACCTGGCTCCACCACTGCCCAGAAGCTTTCACTTCTCCCTTACACGGTCTCCTCCATGTCACCCTCACCTCAGACACCCAACTCGTCGTTTCCCCTTTGGATTCCACTCGACGGCCTGACCTGGCGTGTGATGTCCCCAAATCGTCTTGTCAGTGTATGCCCAATCCAATCCAATCCAATTCATCTCCACTTTCTTCTAGTGCATATTTGTTGGGTGATGGGTGATGGGTTCTTGGTTGGTTGGTTGGTTGGTTAGTTGGTTGACTGTCCAGAGTTGCTTGTTGCTTATTCTTATTATTGTGACCATCTGATCTTGAGTATTGAGTGCGTGTAGGTGTCAGCTGTTGATGATGTATGTGTGTGTAGTTTGTTGGGAATGCTTTTGGTGACACGCCAAGTCTCTCAACTGTAACATGGAAGCACTGAGTTAGTTGACTGACATTCGTTTTGAAAATCTGGATCTTGTTGATGCTTTCTGCTGAGTGGAATGGATTACTTCAGATTAATGTAGTAAGACCTGTGTTGGTGTCTTTCGGATAGTGGCTGACTTTGAATTCCTCATGTGTGCGTGTGTTGCTTGTAGTTGAGACGATGGTGTGTATGTAGGTGGATGAGAGAGATGACTTGCTTTAGATTTCTCCCATTGATGTTGGTTGGTTTGTTGTGTATTTTCATCACCTGTGTGTTGTGTGCATTCAGTTGAAGTGGTGTTTTGGCTGTCCTACCTCTTCTATCAACTTGTTGGTTTTTTGCTTGTCGATCTTTGAGTTTGTGCGACAAGACGTTAGACATGAATCATCATGGGTGAAATCCAAATGGTGTAAAGTCTTTTCATTGGTCAGCCAGCATATACCCTTCTTTTCACAGCTCCTCACGGTTTGTTGCGTGATGTAGTTGAGTCCAGTCTACCAGAATGGGGAAGATGATCGGTGATAGTAGGTGGCAGCCTTGTCTTATTTTGTCTTCACTTCATAGGTGTCACTGAGCTTTCGATTGTGAATCACTTGACTGGCATGTAGCATCATATAGCACATAGTTGTTGAATGAGGTGGATCAAGGCTTGTGGTATTCTGTAGTGTTGAAGCAGTTTCCAAATTTTTTTTCGGTCGACACTCGAAGGTTTTTTCAAAATCGATGAAGTTGAGGTAGACAGTTGCCACTCTGTCATTCTATGATGTTGCGTAGCGTTGTGTTGCAATTTTACCCTCACATGATTTGTTCTTCCTGAAGACAGCCAGCCAGCCTATTGCGGTCGTTATTTTGAATCATTATAATCAGTGTTAATTCTGGTCACCCTATGATTCCATCAAATATAAAAATTTCTATAATGGCTTGCATACTCATAAATCTATCACTTCTTTATTTCTTCCATCATATTTGAACAGCAAGTATTTGTAGCACAAAGAAATCGTTTTATTCAAGTAATATTATAAATTTACGCACTACTCTGTCGGCTATCTTCTAGTCTATCAGTAACATTTTATTCTATTTGCCAGTTTTCATTTTACTATCAAGAAACATGTATGCATATGGTTATTGTTGTTATTGTTTTTTTGTTGTTTTGTTTGCTGATATCAGGTTAAACCGTCAGTTGCCAGCCTAAATTCTTGTTTCACTTACATTGTAAAAGTACCTGCAAATATTGTCAGTGTATTAGAAAAGAAAGAAACCGATAAATCTCATGTCTATATTTGGATTGGGAATAAATCATCTCTAGAAGACAAAGAGTTGGCTAATAGTTTAAGCAAGAAAATCTTTGATTGGGTATGTGCTTTTCATTTTCTGTCAGTTGTTTTTGGTTATCTGTATCGAGTTGCTTGGTTTTGGCTAGCAGAGGATTCTATGACGCGCGTTTCATCCTACTTGGGACTCTTTAGCTGGATCTACCTACAACCTAGTGCAGATAGTGTGTTGTCCCAACTGGGACTCGAACCTTGTACTTATCGTTTCAAATGCCAAGGCGTTATCCACAAGTCCATTTAGATATGATAACCACTTCTTGTACAACAGGCATCAGTTATTACCGTCTGTTGATGTACTTATAATTTTCCGTTGTTTTACTTGATCGAATTGTTCGACCACTGTGTTGACGCGATAGTTACGAGGTACTTGGGTGTAGGCAAATCCTGTTGATGAGTCTCAAATAGGGTGAAACACGCATCCTTGGTTCGTCTGCTAGCCAAAACCAGGTAACCATAATTAATGTTCAGGTAATATCGAGCCACCTGGATAGGGGCCCATATACCAACAAAGGTTGAACAATTCGATTCCAATAAAACAACGAAGAATTACAAGTATATCAATAAATAGTAATGTCTGTATCGATGTTTAATTTATTTTAAAGGTGACTAAGTTTTTTTTAAATTTTTGAAAAGACCTTCCTGTCAGTATTTTTGCTTTTGGCTGATTATAAAACTATGTAGCCACTAAATAACAGGGTTCTTATCGAAGAATTCTATGAAGTATAATAGAGAATATTTTTAGCTCAGGAGAATAATTTTGATGATGTGTTCTTTGAGCTGGACTTGATTTCTACTTGATGATTTGATCATCTTAAGGTAGTATTCATCGTGAATTGGCATCAGTCGGAGGACAATTGAAAACTTATGAGCACTGGAGAGGTGTTTTATCCTAGTATAGGACTCCTCAGCAGTACACGGCCACGATGCAGGTGGGGACTGAACTCAGGATCTTCAGGTTTCATGGTGAGCGTGTTAAGCGCTTAGCCACTGGGTATTTAGTTCAGTGGTTCACAGTTGCCAATTTTTGTCAACTCACGATATAGTATGACTGTCACCCAAGGTCTTTAGATAGCATCCACTTCCCTTCCGAGCGGTTGACCTCACAATTCACGGCTTCTTATTACAACTTCAGGATATCCATCTAGAAGAATGTCACTTGTGAGCACTATACAGTAATGCACTTTAAGGTTAATGGGAATTCGAATTTTGAATACTCTCAGATTTTTGATACCTCCCGTATTGATGTCAGTCCGCGATGAATGCTATCTTAAAATTAAAATCCCCATTAACCTCAAAATATACAACATTATAATCGACTTACTCATGTGATCCTTTGGACTTAGACATTCATTTTAAAACGTTGCCTACTGGTTTAATATAGTGTCATGTTGAATACTTATCACTTCATCATTTCTATCAGACGCCCCATGTATCATTAACTAATGCTTGGTATGAAACCCACTGAGATTACACTATTAGTAAGAGAACAGTTTAGAGCTAGGGATTACTGAATAACATTTCAGTGTTGTAGCGAGGAAAGTCAGTGTCCGTTACTGAGAGATACTACTGTAGTGAAAACCAGGACAACACGCTCTTTAACAGAATTCCTCAGCAACCTTATGCTACACTTATTTTATGTGGTTGCTTAAAGCTCGGTAGGTGAGTTGTGGGTTCGAACTCTCGACATCCTAAACCAATGAGTCATAACATCACTCTCAAGATGATGGTAACACATCACTCCAAAAGACTAATCAATCATTGTTCTGAATTGATTAATGTTAGATATGTCAAGTCATCGCAATCACTTTCTGTGTTTTAAACCATAACGTTGTTGCATATACACACTTCAATGGTATGAATTATATCGAGAAGACAATGATTGACTTACGTTTACCAGAATATGAAGAATCCAATATCTGATTCCATTTACTATTTACTACTTCTTGTTTAAAACTATTTCCACTATGCTTTCTTTTTTAAACTTGATATTTTTTTTTACAACGGTTCAACTCTAATAACTTCTGCATTCACTGTATTACTAGGTTCCATGTTGAAAGTAACTGAATGCCTGAGCATAGTTGAAGAGATAAAAGAATTAAGTAGTGTAAAAGTCGATTACTCATTATTCCTTTTTCTCATCTATTCCTTTATGTTTAAAACAAGCTTATCTTGAGTACCTTATTAATGATGAATAGGAGATATCAGTGGAAACTAAGATGTTAATTTGTGGCTCAGTGATTTATGCAAATGACTATCATTGTTTCGTACCCCGCTTCATCTATGAGGTTTGTGCAGTCAGGTGGTATCACCAACCTTCACACAGTAGGTGTTGCTTGTATCTTGAACTCATCAGTGGGATCCACCTACCTTACTGATGTTCTTTGTTCAAGTATGACGAATGCTATATAAATTGTTTTCTCTTGATATATTCATCTTCTTATCAAGTGATGGTTACATCAAACATACTATGCATGGACTATTAATGATATTGAAACAAAATTTTATGGTATGAAGGGAATCAATCTATACATTCATCTTCAAGTAGTATGATATTGCTAGGATTATTGATCACATATACATATCGTTTGTGAAATAAGTTTTTTTTATGAACAATTGATTATGCAAATTAATCTTATATAAGTTTATACTGATAAACCAAGAGAGAAAGAAATAATAATTGATATCTATTCAGTTTGGCTAATATGACTAAACTAGCTTATTCAATAATGCAATGAATTAATTTATTTACCGATCAAATTTTTCAATTGATCTATGATTTCATAGAAGTTTATTGAATTGTAATGATTGTATTATTTTTCTCACTACTAAAAATGTAATGATTTAACTTCTTTTTTAGTGACTTAATTAAGTCTAATCGATTAATCTATATAAGAAGAGGGGTGAATACAAAAAATTTCTAAGAAACGATAGTTTCCAAAAAAACGTGAAGGCTAATTGGTTTACACAAGAATGATTACCAGAGTTTCAAGGGGAATTTAGCTATCCGGTAATTTGGATTAAAATGACCTTCAGGTTATTCACTTGAAACTCCACTATATTTGTCGCAAGTCAGTATCATTCAGCTAGTTTTGATAATGAAAGTATACCAACTGGCTGTTTCATATTGTTACGAGACTTCTGTCCAGTAGTGTTCAAATAAATAAATAAAGGATATCATTTGAAGCTACTGCACACTTGTTTAGAGACGTATTGTGCATGTCTAACTACCGCCTACCTTGTCGTGTCATGCTAAGAAACGTTGCGTTCACGGTGGCCAGACTAAGACGTTATACCAGTGAGTGAAGTCTCTAATTGTTCGTTCGATCTGGTTGATGTCCCTGAGATGAAAGGAATCAGTGGTTGAGGATTGTTGCTGACGTCACTTGAAAACAGTCATAATTGCACAGATGTATTCACTCTTTGAAGTATTTTGAAGCTTGAATATTTGCACTAATCTTTGCCTTCAAATTGTTTATTCTGTCATGCTACTTTATCTACTCTGATATCACTCCCTTTCTATCCACTTTTTCTTTATGTACTTCTATGAAGTATGGCAAGTTGGACTGACACACCTATATGCAAGGTTCCACTTTGATTTTCATGTGTTATCTCTCTGTCTGAAACATTTGAGAAGAAACAATTCAACAATGGCGAGTCATCATGTATTGATCCATGCTCTAATCGATAAGCCACATATATTAAGTAAAGGTTGATGAAACTGAGGGTTGCCTAAATTTCAGCAGGTAAATTAAGGGTGGAATCGTCGGTTTCCTAGTGGATCAATTAGTCAAAGTTCTACGAATAATGATTGAAAAGTTTTAAAATTAAAAGAGACAGCGATATGTGAACATATAATATATACAGATGTCTTATGTTCTAAGCTGAATGTAGATGCCATGTGTTGATAATTTTCATCAAATATTGGTAGAAAACACTTATATAGACACCATACACTTTGAGTACCTGTTAGTGACTGATTTAGCATGTATGTGGTCCTGGTGACATCTAAGGATGTGAAATATTCTTTTGTGTTATGTCATAGGAATACTGTTAGTAAGTGTACTATGGAAGAAATTAATGAAAAACTTTTCCGCTTTATTTAAACGCTTGTCTATACTATGGTTTGTTTACTTAAAGTTAAAAAAAATATTCGTATATTTCATTTTATTGTATAGATTTACCCCTTTATGACTGATAGCTGTTTTCATTAATATGCTAAATTATTGATCTAGTATGTTTATGTTTTTTTGTATGACTTAGATTCCAGCTGATTTTCATATTGTTCCTGAAGGTTCTGAATGTCCTCTCTTCTGGCAAGTGTTAGGCGGTCAAAAGAAATATGATACACAAGCAGATTTTCTTACATATGGTCGACTTTTCCGTCTATCAAATGAGCAAGGATACTTTTGTGCCTCAGAGAAATGTGCAGATTTTTGTCAAGATGATCTGGCTTCAGATGATGTCATGCTGTTGGATACTGGATCTCAGGTGAGCTGTAGATTGGAGTTATTATATTATAATTTGTCCCTTGGGTTCCTAGTGGAACATAGAGCTTCAGTAGCACGTCGCCATTGCATTCTGTTCTTTCCAATCTTTTGAATCTGGCTCTATCACTGCCCACAAGCTCTCATTTCTTCCTCACACCTTCTCCTCCATGTCACCCTCGCCTCGGATACCCGACTCATCGTTTCCCATCTGGATTCCAGTCGACAGGATGGACTGGTGCGTGATATCTCCGAATGGTCTTCTCAGTGTATGCCCAATCCATCTCCTCTTCCTTCTACATACTTGTTGGGTGACAAGTTCTTAGTTGGTTGGTTGCAGGCCAGAGTTAGTTCCTTGTTGCTTATTCTTTCTGGCCATCTGATCTTCAGTAACGAGCGTAGGTAGTTCTTGATGGATTTCTGCAGTTTGTTGGAAATGCTTTCCGTAACGCACCAAGTCTCTCAACCATATAGAGGCACTGACTTGACTGAATTAGTGTTGACAATCTGGATCTTGTTAACGCTATCGAAGGCCTTTTCAAGGTCGATGAAGTTGCGACAGAGAGTTGACTGCCATTCTATACTCTGTTCTATGACGATGCGTAGCGTAGCGTTGCAATTTGATCCACTGTTGATTTTTTCGTGCTGAAGCCAGCCAACCAGCCTATTCCGGTCGTAATTTTGAATGGAATGCATCTTTCAGTCTCTCCAGGATGATGCGGCATAATATTTTGCTTGGGGTAGATAACGGTGGAGCATGATTCCTCGCCAGTTCTTGAAAAGACTTATGTCTCCTTTCTTTGAGAGTTTGATAAGTTAGCCTTTCTTGCAATGGATCAGCAGGTACCTTTCCTTACTTCCTTGCAAATCTTTTGCAGTAGTGGTGGGAGCTTGTCCGCCGACATCTCTGTGTCTACTTTTAGCACTTCTGGTGGGATTCCATCTGTTCCTGCTGCTTTCTGGCATTTCAGTAGCCGTATAGTATTCAGAACTTCACTTCAGCTTTTGTTGGAGTGCTTGTGTTCACTGGTAGTTCTGTGGCTGAGCTGCGTATGGTATTTCTGGACTGGTTGCACTTGGTGGTAGTGGTGCTGGTTGATTGAAGTGGTCAGCCGATCGTTTCCTTTGTTTTTCCTGTTTGGCGGTAACTAGTTTTCCTTCACTATCCTTCATTGGTTTGATGTGTACTGTGTTGATGTCGTCACTCGCACATAGTAACCTGGTTATTTGATATGATGTTGTCAGGTGTCTGTCTCTCTTACCCGTAGCTTGTTCTGCTTGACTTTTCAGTGTTTCGTAGAAGTAAGTGTCTTTTGTTTTTCCATGCACTCTTCTTCTCTTGTTTGTGCATTGTAGTGTTTTGTAGTTTGTGTTCTCAGTTCCTCTTTTCGTTGTTGATCCTTGCACTGCACTGTTTCATCTTGTGCTTCACGATTTTCCTGTGCCTGCTGTATCAGCTTTGATGTGTCAGTGTAGATGCATTGATTGTCTTGTTTGTTCTTCCTTGCTAACATGGTTATGTAGGTTTGCTTCCACATGGCTGTCGAAGAGTTCGAGTGTTGTAGTACGCAGGTTTGTTCAGAGATGTTGCTTAATTTCTCCGATTTTGTGCTGACGACTGACTGACTGATGTGAAGATGTGCTTTGTAGTTTTGTCCTTCAGTTTAGTTTATGTTGTTGGTGTTGAAGTTGAAGTTGAACTGTGGTTGTCTATCACCAGCTTCATTGAATTGAGGGCTTTCGACTTGATTTTGAAGTTGGGTTTCTTGCAATAGATAGTGAGTGGTGTGAATCTGCCTGTATCTGCTGCTCTTCTTGATGTTGTGTTGGTTATGCTGGCTTTGTCTCCATTTTGTTGAGATTGAGATGAAGTGTATATGGATTTTAGTGTGTCTGGATAGATCCATGTCGCTTTGTGAAGATGCTTGTGCTTGAACACAGTGCCTCCAATCACCATGTCGTTGAATGCGCAGGAGTCTGCAAAGAGTTTTTTATTCTGGTTCATTTCCCCGAGCGCTTCTCGACGCATGGTTAGTTCTGTTTCTGTGTTGTCTGCTCCCAGTTTGGCACTAATGTCACTCTACCCATTAGAATGAACTTTGATGTGGTCATCTGGGGTGGGGTGTTGTCCGATTGTGATTGCAGTTGTTTGTAGAATTCCTCCTTCTTCTCTTGATCTGAGGTACGATAGCTATCTCTTGTACAACGGGTATCAGTTATTGTTTCCTGATACTTGTAATTTCCTGCTACCCTGCAGGGTTGAATTACTCGACCTCTGTCTAAATAGGAGTGAGGGAATAAAGCGTAGTTTACCCTGGTCTCAAGCCATCTCTTTGTACTGATATAACCAATATATATACTATAAGAACTACCAATACACGCGTGTACATCCAAATCTCTTTCCGTAATTCATACACATAATACACTGTATATAGTTATCATCTTTGTTTCGATAATTTGACATCGCAAAACCACATTCATACAGAAGAACATATATCAAGTTATCATATATCCGGTTGCGGTCCAAATTTTTATTTCACCCTCAATCATCACCTAGTATTAATACAAGTCTGCCAAAACACGTCTATCTCAGATAATCAAAATGATAATCAATATCATGCTGTTCCTCTTTAATTTAGTTAGATTTGTATTGGAATGAGGAAGTCCTGACTAAGCAACCAGTGTGAATACGATCAAGCGGTAGTAACGCATCACAAATTCACATGGTAATCAGGCTAAAACCCCACCTTGTGATTAAAGTGAAATAAAAATTCGGTCAACAGTCAGACGTCGTAGCTTAGTTGGTAGAGCATCCGGCCGTTTTTACCCTATAGTCACTGGTTCGAATCCGGCTGCGGTCCAAATTTTTATTTCATCTTCAATCATCACCCAGTATTGTATATATGAAAGCTTGACGATATTTTAAATTTCAGTTTACTATAACTTTGATAAAGCTATTAGCAGTATAAAACGGTAAAACGTCAGTTAAAACCAATTTATCTTATTTTACATTCATTGGAAATTATAAATTATATCAAAATAATGAAAAGTGTATTGTTTTTTAATTATTTGGAAATTAAATTTCATTGTTTGTTGTTTTTGGAAAAAGTTACATTCATAAACTTTAGTTGTTGTTATGATTATCGCATAAAGTATCATTTCATTGTATAGTTCATTGTATAGTACTTAACTTTGATCATAGAAAATAGTAATATCAGTGTTAGTAAATAACCTTCTCTTGTCTTGTATTTATCATCTAAGATTACTAAATCTTACATAGTAATAATAATAATAATGAAACACTGAACTGACTTGTTAATTAATTAATATACAAGAACGTGATCTTGTTCCCTTTACAAAAATCAATCAATGAATTATTGTAATATTCATTACATTCATTGTCTAGTACACTACTTTTGTTAGTCTCTATTTGTGCTATAAGTTTATAAAATGAGATCAAATTTTAGATAGGTTCAACTGAAAACGATTGTAATACATTCAATTTTGAATATTTTACTATTTCAATGCTTATTTATGTCACTTATTATCATATTCTTGTTGTTCAATTGTAATATGTTATTCTTCTGGCTAGAACAATGGATTATTTTCTTAAATCACTATCATTTCTTATAGATACTTATCTTAAAATTACTCTGTTTCACTAATTTTTCCCGTAACATATATTGATAAGACTAATAAAGTAGATACTAGGTGATAGAAACACTTTTTTGTTTTTGTTTTCAAAGCAACTGGTCCCTTTGATAAATTTAAACATTGTAATGAGAAGACGAAGATTATCTGAAACATGTGTGATATATTATCGCCATACATTTCGAACAATCTGATCACATATGAATTTGTCGAACTATTTGTGTGAGAATTTACGGAAAGGGTCAGTGAAGTTAATAGGAAACATAGGAATAGAAAGGAGCAGAGAAAAAGAAAAAAACGTTACTCCTGTTATGAAAATTAAGATCAATACTACCAAGGTAGATTCAGCGTGAGTACTTACCTTGGTAGGATTGATTTTAATCTTTATACCAAGAGTAAAGTAAGTAACGTTTTTTCCTTTTCTCTGCTGCTTCCTATCAACTTCACTGACCCTTTTCGTAAATTCTCATATAAATAGTTCGAAAAGTTCATATGTGATCAGATTGTTTGAAATGTATATCGCTAATACATCACACATGTTTCAGATAATCTTCGTCTTCTCATTACGCTGTTTAAATATATGTTTTCAATTATCGAAATAGTCTTATTAGATAATACAAAGTCAACAAAAAACAATTCAGCGAAATAAAATATTCTTTTCGATGAATCATTTTTAAAAGTTGTACAATTGTGATCATGGTTACAACAAAATATATCTCTATCAATCAAGTCACAAGGTGATGGCGACTAGAAGGTCACCTCTATGTGTGTTCACGATGTCACCTGTTGTGAATCTGGTTTCATAGGCTGTACAAAGCGTGTTCTATCCAAACACATCTCCGAACATTATTCTTCATGGCTTTATCTAAAGGAGAGTATAAAGCCATCAACATTAGATTCTTGAGTAATTGGTTAACTCTAGTCACGTAACTCCACAAGAATCTTCTTTCAAAATCATTTATAAGTTGGAGTCTCACATTTTGAAGACAATGCGTATTCGCCACCTCAACATGACAGAAGCTTTGACAATACTGGGGTTCAAGCCTGATTTTAACCTTCAAAAAAAATACAATCAAGACCATCCACCTGAGCTACAAATATTTTCCACCATTTCGAAATCATACGAGTGTAGCAGGATTCACGTTGTTCGAAGATGGGGAACTTCTTCAAGAGGTAAGCTTCCATAAAAGAACAACTATTCTTTTTCCATGAATGCCTACGTCAGCATGTTCTGCCGAAGATTGTCAGATATAGACCACCGATTAACTGTCCAATGGGATGGAAAATAGCTGAACAAAGTGAAAGACAAATGGTACAATTGATGATAATAGATGCGCACATCATTGGATTCGGAAATATCAATTCGTGATTAGAATCAAAAGAGAAAACTAGAAAGCATACTCACGACACAACACACAACTAAACAACTCAGCTTAGAGAACACAATACAACCAAGACCGTTCACCTGAGCTACAAATATTCTCCACCATTTCAAGATACATTCAGTCTCTAAACCATTTTATCCATTTATTTGTTTATTTGTTGTAACCATCTAAGTAATTGTTGATGATCTTGAGTTGACCTTCTAGGCGTTATCACCTTGTGACTTTATTAACTCATTAACCATTGGTGAATATATATATATATATATATATATATATATATATATATATATATATATATATATATATTGTCGTAACTATGATTTCGATATAGAACTTTTGAAAATGATTTGTCGAAAAGAAAATTTTCTCCTCTGAATTGTCTTTTGTTTTCCTTTACCATGCATATTATTTCATGAAAATTGAATTGGGTTCGACTTTTGTAACATATTGTGAGTTATGTTATATTTGAGATAAATGAACCACACTTTTGTAAAAGTGTTCTTAACCACTTATAGTATTCATCTCTGACAAGTTGTATCATAGATTTAGTTGACGGAAATGTTACTCATGGTTTTTTGCATGATCCTATTTTTGTGATAAATAAATTCAAAAACTTTATCCATGCGTTATATATCAGACTGTGAGCTTCATCTAATGGTGTATGACGGTATATGATGTTACCCAATTGGCCCGATCCAACATAAATGAATTGGGATGCGAAGCTGAGGTATCGAATTCGATGTTTTTATGACCTGTTTGTCCTTGAACTATAGCACTTGTATACTATATTTCAGGAGCTTTATAGCCTAAGTTAAATTTTCTTGTTACTGACTGATAGGAATGTAGTTGATGTGATTCGTACATGGGGGAATGATTGGTATCAATTGTGACACTTCATTTCATTGACCATAATTTATCTTTATTTGCTTTATCGTTATCCACTGAGGGATACAACGTTCAGTGCGTTATGCTGGTTAGAAAAAAACTTTCTTGAAGTCTTAACATGCCAGATAGACTCATTCGATAGTCATAAGATTTCTTAGTAGTTAACATTGTAGTGTGAACAGCATATGCTAGCCAAATGGGATATCATACCAGTAAGGAGTTCCCCGTAGATAACCAACAGCTCATACTGAGGTTGCATTCCTTATCGGAAGCACAGAGTTTCAAATGGTTGATGTTAATATTATTTGTTCCTTAGGTTCCTAGTGGAACATAGGGCTTCACTTGCACGTCTCCATTTCAAACTCTTCTCTCCAGTCTTCTCAAACTGGCTCCAACACTACCCAGAAGCTTTCATTTCTTACTCACACCTTCTTCATGTCCAACTCGTCGTTTCCCCTTTGGATTTCACTCGAGGGCCTGGTTTTGCCTGATGCGTGATGTCCGCAAATGGTTTCCTCAGTGTATGCCCTATCCAATCCATCTCCACTTTCTTCTCCTACATATTTGTTGGGCGATGGGTGCTTGGTTGGTTGGTAAGTTCGTTGCCATAGTGAGTTGCTTATTGTTGTTGCTTGTTCTTTCTGGCCATCTATCTAATCTTCAGTATCGAGTGAGTGTAGTCGGCAGCTGTTGATGATGTATGTCCGTAGTTTGTTGGAAATGCTTTTTGTGATGCGTCAAGTCTCTCAACTATAACATAGAAGCACTGAGTTACTTGAATGACAGTGTCGACAATACGAATCCTGCTCACGCTTCATGCTGAGTGCAGTTCGGTAAAGTAGATCCCTACACTGATTTCAGATTAATGCAGGAAGGTCTGTCTTTCTGTCTTTCGGATCGTGGCTGGTTTTGACGTCCTCATGTGTGCATGTGCCGCCTGTAGTTGAGATGATGCTGCCTTGCCTCGGTAGGTGGAAAACACAACTTGCTTTAGATTTCTCTCATTGATGTTGATTGGTGCTTGTTGTTGTTGTTGGTTAGTTGGTTGGTTGGTTATCTTCATCACCTTTGTCTTCTCTACATTCACTTGAAGTCCCGTCTTCGCTTCCCTGCCCCTTCTGTCAACTTGTTGCTTTTCGCCTGTAGATCTTCGAGTTTATGCAACGTAAGATACTCATTATTGGGGAAATCCAAATCATGTAGTCTTTTCATCGGTCAACGAGCGTATGCCCCTCCTTTCACAGCTCCTCACAGTTTTTTCGATGATCCAGTTGAGTCCGGTCAAGCACAATGGGGAAGATGATCGATGATAGTAGGTGGCAGCCTTGTCTTACTCCTGTCTTCACTTCAAGGGTGTCACTGAGCTTTCCATTGTTAATCACTTGACTGGCATGTAGCATCATATAGCACATAGTTGTTGAATGAGGTAGATAAAGATTTGTGGCACTCCATCGTGTTGAAGTAACTGCCTGCCAAATTTCTTCTCGGTCTACACTCGAAAGCTTTTTTAAAATCGATGAAGTTGAGGTAGAGAGTTGCCACTCTGTCATTCTGTGCTCTGTTCTATAAGGATGCGTAGCCTAGCGTTGCAATTTGATCCACTCATGATTTGTTCGTGCTGAAGCCAGCCAGCCAGCCTATTCCGGTCGTAATTTTGAATGGAGAGCATCTTTAAGTCTCTCCAGGATGATGCGGCATAATATTTTGCTTGGGGTGGATAACGGTGGAGCATGATTCCTCGCCAGCTCTTGAAAAGACTTAGGTCTCCTTTCTTTGAGAGTTTGATAAGTTAACCTTTCTTGCAATGGATCAGCAGGTATCTTTCCTTACTTCCTTGCAAATCTTTTGCAGTAGTGGTGTGAGCTTGTCCGCCGACATCTCTGTGTCTACTTTTAGCGCTTTTGGCGGGATTCCATCTGTTCCTGCTGCTTTCCGGCATTTCAGTAGTCGTATAGTATTCAGAACTTCACTTCAGCTTTTGTTGGAGTGCTTGTGTTCACTGGTAGTGCTGTGGCTGAGCTGCGGATGGTATTTCTGGACTGGTTGCACTTGGTGGTGGTGGTGCTGGTCGATTGAAGAGTTTTTTGAAGTGGTCAGCCGATCGTTTCCTTTGTTTTCCTGTTTGGCGGTAACTAGTTTTCCTTCACTATCCTTCATTGGTTTGATGTGTACTGTGTTGATGTCGTCACTCGCACATAGTAACCTGGTTATTTGATATGATGTTGTCAGGTGTCTGTCTCTCTTACCCGTAGCTTGTTCTGCTTGACTTTTCAGTGTTTCGTAGAAGTGTCTTTTGTTTTTCCATGCACTCTTCTTCACTTCTTTGTCCATTGTAGTGTTTTGTAGTTTGTGTTCTCATTTCCTCTTTTCGTTGTTGATCCTTGCACTGCACCGTTTCATCTTGTGCTTCACGATCTTCCTGTGCCTGCTGTATCAGCTTTGATGTGTCAGTGTAGATGCATTGATTGTCTTGTTTGTTCTTCTTGCTAACATGGTTATGCAGGTTTGCTTCCACATGGCTGTCGAAGAGTTCGAGTGTTGTAGTACGCAGGTTTCTCCCATTTTGTGCTGATGACTGACTGACTGATGTGAAGATGTGCTTTGTAGTTTTGTCCTTCAGTTTAGTTTATGTTGTTGGTGTTGAAGTTGAACTGTGGTTGTCTATCACCAGCTTCATTGAATTGAAGGCTTTCGACTTGATTTTGAAGATGGGTTTCTTGCAATAGATAGTGAGTGGTGTGAATCTGCTGTATCTGCTGCTCTTCTTGATGTTGTGTTGGTTATGCTGGCTTTGCCTCCACTTTGTTGAGATTGAGATGAAGTTGATCTGATTTTTAGTGTAGTGTATCTGGTATCTTGTGAAATCGAATCGCTTTGTGAATATGCTTGTGTTTGAACACAGTGCCTCCAATCACCATATCGTTGAATGCGCAAAAGTCTGCAAAGAGTTTTTTATTCTGGTTCATTTCCCCGAGGGCTTCTCGACGCATGGTTAGTTCTGTTTCTGTGTTGTTGGCTCCCAGTTTGGCACTAATGTCACTCTACCCATTAGAATGAACTTTGATGTGGCCATGTGGGGTGGGGTGTTGTCCAATGGTGATTGCAGTTGTTTGTAGAATTCCTCCTTCTCCTCTTGATCTGCATTATTTGTAGTGTAGCATTGAATGATTGTGAATTTGCTTCCTTTTGATTTGAACCTTGCTGTGTCATGATGTTGGAGGAGGAGATTGGTTCCCACTGCATGAGAGAGAGCCTTCGATGGTGTTTGAGACATGATGATAGTCAGTGGAAAACTCAGTGTGCTCGTGGTTGTGGTGTGGTGTGGTGTGGGTGACAATATCGAAGTAGATTACTGACTCCTCTCCAGTTGACAGTTTGTATTGTCCACTTTCATTGGATGTGCTTTCTCAGATTCCAATGTCTTCTATGCCATACCTTCTCATCTGTTTTGCGATGTGGGTGACCTCTGTGGGTTCAAATATTGTGCGGACATTGGATATTCCTATGTTTAGTTTCACTTTCATCTAGGGAGAGAAGAAATATCGGCTAACTGGCTTTCCGAAGGCTTTCAGCAACTGGCATTATTTCGTCTCTCTGATTGCAGTGAGGAATAAGTTTATTTTTATTTTTTGAATTTTCTTTGTGCTTTGAAGTTTCTTTATCGATTGAATTGGTTTTACGGGGTAGGTTTGCTGGCCCTTTGGTGTGATATGAAGGTAGTATTTAGGTTTTATTCGGGTGATGGTGCGGTTTATTAGCATTTATGATGTTTATAAAATTACATATATATCAGGTTTTTTAATAAATTACAGGTTTGATAATTATCTGAAACCCAGCTGTATTATATATTTTTTGTGATGTCTGAAGTCATTTTGCTGTTTTTTTTAAAAATTATTCCACTTTTGTTTATCTCTTATTATTCCCTTCAGATTTATCTTTGGTGGAGTAAGCGTACATCAGATGTAGAACAGAAATTATCTCTACAAGCTGCTAAACTTTATCAAAGTCATTTACGTCAAATGCAACCTGATCGACCACGTCAACTTAAGTTGACAGTGAAAAATGCAGAGCCACATTTATTTAGACAGTGTTTTCATGGTTGGGACCTTTTCGTGAACCGAAAGACTGGTCAGGTTAACAGCTGCTTTTTATTTCTACTCCTATAAATACTATGCTGAGGAAGCAGAAGAGAGAAAAAAAACACATTTTATTATCTTTCTTTTTGTATACCTTTTACTTGTTCTGGTGTCTCCTTCCTCAACCTTTTAATGTCAATTAACAAACAGCATCTCCAATGGTTTTCTCCGCCTTGAATTTTGTTCAGCTAACTTGTCTTTTGTTTTTATCTGTCATTATTGCTTAATTGTTTATTCAGTTTACTTATGTATCACTAATCGTGTGTTTAAAACATGCAGGTTCTACAACTTTACATTATTTTTCTCTGCTGTACGTTTTTCTTCCTTTGTTGGAGAAATCATTATTTGGATTTGAGTTTCAACCGCCTTAGTTTGTCACCTATATCTTAGCTAGAAATAATTCTATCCATCCAAATCAACATAGGACCAAGCATTACTGCTTAACTGTCCGAGTTGCCACACCTCACATCAGTACATCAAGTAAAAAGACAGTTAAGTGGATAATGAAGGAAGAAAATTTAGTCAAAAGAAATGTAAAGAACGAGGAGAAAAAGGGAAGAATGAGAAAACGGTGAGACTTGGTATACTGTCGTTAAGATGAGGATAATGTGTGTACATCTGCACCACTAACATCGGTTCTCAACCATATCACCTAAGCACTCAACCACTAGTTTCTCTTCTACCACGAACCCGATCGACTAGTCTGCATCGCTCCATCTACATGGCTTAAAACAACAGTCAAAGACTTCATGCATTGATGCCATGTCTGGCCACCTGGAGCCTATTTCTAGCCTGAACCTACTTCAGCTAACATTGTGTGACGAGACAGACGAGGTTAGGCATATGTAATACGTGTCCAAACCAGCTAGAAATGATTAGTGATGACGATTCTGTAAGAATTCTTGCACGTAGCACTATTGATGGCATAGATTTTTCTAACGCACACACTAATCATCATTGTCAGGAAAACTCTACTGTAATTGAAGTTATGAATAAGGATTAGAACTAACGAATAGTCTGTCATCGAAATGACCGACTGAATCGTAAGGAATACGTGGACGATACTGACGTAATGAGACACTTATGCCGGATATGAGTAGCGTCTGTTCTCTTTCAGTATCTTATTCTTCACTAAACCACGAAAATGACGTGTGACTATAAGAAATATACTTTATTCGACAAAGTAAATCATTTATATACAATTTTCATGCACATTTGAAACCGCTAGGTCGATAGTTAAATGGCCTTTTCTGATTGGTCAACGGCAGGATAAAATTACCCAGTAAGATGTCTCCTAACTACACAGCAACATGAAACAAAACTGAAGTGGAAAGCTTCTGTTTTAGCAGCTAATTTCATTTAGGCTACTTCTTATATTTATCATGAGCAATGTAAGCACAAAAGATATTGTTCAGGAAGCTTATATTTTGGTTACATGTATTTCTTATGTTTTGAGATAAATTTACAAAGTCTGCAGTATGTATCTCAACGAAGCATTGAGTTAGGCCGCTTCTTTATAAGAACCCAGTATCACTTGTATCTCCAGGATTAAACTAGATATAAAGCAATCACACATACTGTTTACTGACTACATTCATTAACTATCTGTTGTGTCTTTTAGTTTTGTGAACTTGACACCATGATTCCTGTTAAAGAATGTTTTACAAACCTCTCTTAAGCTTTACACTATTTGACATTGGTGACAACCAACTGCCTAAATGCATCATCAGAGTTTTAGAAATCGTTATTGGAAGTATGTTAAAAACGAATGTTTATTACTTTCAAGAATGTAATATTCAGGTCACTTTGTAATACTATCATTCAAAGATGAAAGTAGTGACTTAGTTCGATGAGACTTCACTGTCAGTAGTTATTTATTTGAATACAAATCCATTAAAATATGGGCATTAAGAAAAACTCTTCACAAACTAGTATATCATAATGGAGACATAAAGGAAGAGAAATCTTAAGAATAATTGATTGGTTGAAAAGGGAAAGCAGTCACATAAAATACTTTCAGGTTTCTTTCATTACTTTTGTAACAGTGCTCATTTGAAAATGAAACAACACGACAAAATATTCGCCATTGGTTTTGTTGCTGAACCATGTTAGGAAAGGTTTCAATCCATTTAATAGGGTGATATAGCCTCGATCTAAAGAGTGGTCACAATAACAGGTGCTAGCCCACCACAACTATTCTCTACAGCCTACGGTACTAGTTTGCACAGTACACACTTCTGATTACTCTCATAGCCAGCAGATGATGGACAGTATGCTATTGTAAATGTTTCAGGTTGAGAAGTTCTCGACGTGTTAGCAGATATACATACAACCATTATAAAGCACATACTTCAAAGGTACATCAATAATGTCATCCAGTATAAAGTTAATGAACAATTAAGATGTTTAACAACCTTATCTAAGCTAATTGTTATCTCTGAAATGGTTGTCAGAGATGATTTTTGTCCGTACCTTCGGTTGTTTCGTATAAGTTTCGCGAGATATTTATTAAGTTCTCAGGGAATAATATCTCCAGAAAAAACCCCACAGAATAGTCCTGTCCAGTGGGAAATAGATGTTACTAATGTCAAGAAATATATGATTAATGACCATATAATACGTTTGATAATGTTCAGGTATCTGACTAAGAACGAACATTTCATGATTACAATAAAATCTAGCCTGTTATTTCTGAATAAGTTTTTGCATGATCTGCTAAGTACGGCAGTGACCAATATATTTCATACAGTCGGTGACAAACTAATATTATGACTATTTTCACAGGAGTTCCACTTTAGTTGTTTAAAATAGCTGGTGGTAAATCTTTTAAGCTTTTTAATCTGTAATGTCTAACTACTTTAATTTCTCTTTCTTCATTTGGTGGATTTGTGTTAACCTGAATAATGATCAAATGACTTTGAGATTGATTACGGTCACTTAACTTATTCTCATCTGAAACTAAACATCGGTTTACGATCCGCATTTGAAAAAGTTGTGTATTCATCTCTGGTTATGTCTTAGCAGGCGATTCTTCGAAACAGGCGAAGATGACTACTAGTCATTGTCGTTCATTTAATTTAACTGTGCAGGATTATGCCTGGACGGCTGTCGATATGGATTTTACCGAGAAGTACACTCTCCTATCTTTTTACAGTAGTATACGAAGAACAAGTTAACCGAAAAAGAGCGATATCAATGTAGTTGAAGTAGTATGAGAGAATAACCAGTCTGAGGGTAAAGGTTAATGGGAATATTCAAACTTTAGAAGACGTCAAGCAGTGAATACATCTGTACCACTGTGACCGATTTTCAGTTATGTCATCAACCATGTCATCAACTTCCTGTCGTCTCAGAGATACTAGCCAGGAGCTCACGGCTCAGACAAACAGTCAGGAACTTCACCGACTAGTAACATGCCTTAACCTGGCCATCCTGAACCTTCTTCCAACCTAAACCAGCTTTCCCTAGTATGACACATTGAGGAAGGTGATGGCTCGGCATGCGCAGTACACCTGCAAGCCATCTCACTCGACTAAGTGTTGCAACCTCATCGGTTGACTTGCGTAGTATCCTTTGCTTGACTTCAGCATTGTTTATACGATGATTCCACTACACGCGAACAATGCTACATGGACATTTGTGACGAAAACCCAGTAACCGTTCATGTCTGATCCTTAGTTTCGCACTGAAACCGGAAGTGATGGATGCTGATGACATGGAGTCCCCTAATAATCATACATCTAAAGTGATTTATTATGCTGATAGACCAAGGATTTTTTGAAAGTCCTGCATTCAGATTTCGTTCGTGGCTCTCTGAAATTCACTATATTTGTCAGTAGTCAAGCTTTTCAGAATCTTGGCATTCAGGTCAGTCACCAATCAACAGATGTATAGACATAGACCCAGTCTATCAACCAATGAGAAAAGTGATAAGCGACAAAAGGTCCAGAGGTCAAGCAGAGGAACAGCCAATAGGAAAGTCTATGCAGTCAATGTATACAACAATCGAAGGAAATAACCAATCACAGACCACATTGTCAGAGCAAGTTATTACATCACTCATGGGGAGATATTGACAGCTCACTTCATACTGAAGTTAGTGCTGATGATTTCGTTCACGATTAAACAACCCAGCTCAGAGAACATAATACAACCAAAACCTGGGCAACGCTCCCTGGCATAATACTGAAACCGGCAAACTTAAGTAATGTAGTTGTTTTTAGGATAGTTGAGTCGGATTTCGTACGCGAAAAGAAATTTCCAGAACCAAGTGTTTGTAGACTTGTGCAGATGAATCAGAAGTTCAAACAAACGTGTGCATGAACGAAGTGAAGATGAAGGTAATAATGAAACAAATTTTATATTTTTGTTTATCTAACACGTTGACCACAGAATCTGTGGTCCTAGTGTGATAAGGAGTGGGAGAGTCGGTCGTGTACTTGCTGTAGCCATTCTGTGAAGTGATGGAGTGCGTCGACCACTTCACTTACCTAGAGAGTTGCATCAGCCTGAACGGGCTTGTCGCTAATGAAATCTCTGCTCAGACACAGATGGCCGGTTTGGAATTTGCCAACTTGCGTCATCTCAGGGGCCGGCTATGAGACGTGGTCGTTGAGAATAGATGTGAAGAGAATACAGGCTTTTCACCGTAACATCTTCTTAGCATTGTTTGTGTTTGGTGAAATCAACATGTTAGCCATTTCGATGTCATGCGAAGGACAATTGGTAAAGAAGGCAAGTCAGTCTGTGTGACAATCAGTTTTCAGCAACTGAAGTGACTTAGATATCTGTTGCGCATACCGAGTCACTATCTAGCTTGACGTCCTATGCTTGGGGAAGTTAGTTGTATAGGGTTTAAAAACGACTTAGGATAACGACACCAAGAATTAACACTAGTCCATGAGGTTTCTGACTGTTGATATGAGTCATGTAAGGAGATATAGACCGCCTAGCTGGTGTCCACGAGACGATGGGAATCACTGGTCGGTGACATGGCTGAAAATCAGTCAAAATAGTGTAGATGTACTCATTTTTTGACGTCTTCTAAAGCTTGAATATTTGCACTAACCTTCATCAAATAATTTCTTATATACACCTTTGTCTACTTTGATATCAGTCTTTCCTCCTATCCCCTTACTCTTTGTATGCTGCTGTGAAGTGTGGCAACTTGAACCGATGTAGTTGTCTGCCAGATTCTACGTTGATTTTGTCTCTCCGTCTTTGTGATGGTTAGCTGTTCCCAATTAGTAGCCTCGTTACTTAATATGAGCCCTTTTTTCTTCATCTAATTAGTTGTTTATGAAAATACGATTTCCGCTTTCATATGGAGTCATTTAACTATCATCAGTGGCATTTAAAAA